TTATTGTTTGTCATCCACTAATATTCAAAGGTCTTGAGAGTCGACGTGATTGTTTTGAACAACACTAACCGTCGATGTTGTCAGCCAGAGTACGAATCAAGGTGAACTCCTCCTCGCCTTAGTAGCTCGTGAATTTGAAACAGATTTTGATGATGAAGAACCAAATGCCTCGGCAGTCCTCATTGTTCACCCACTAATGAATATGTTAAACGGAAAACAGCAGAAGACCGCTAAAATTCTCTTGGAAGATGATTTCAAGTTTGTTTTCCAATAGGCGCCACCAGGCGTTTGAAAGACTCATTTGGATTCAGTTATGATTCCTTTTTGAACAATGTGAAGGTTGCAGTTGTAGCTGCAGCTAATTTGCCTTTGGCAAAGCTAGCCAAGAAGTTGGAGGAGGTCCTCTGATGTCATGCGATGGCGGATTCCAACGCAATAGCATTTTTCTCTGGCTATTTGATATTCTTGAAACTTGTAGACAGGACAACACTTCTCACTCTTTGTGCAATGATGAACATTCGGCTTCTGCCATTAAATTGATTTCTGCGTTGTACGACAAAATTTCCACCGATTTCTCTGGCTGTTATTTGTTTATGTACTTTTCAGAAAGAGTCTCTCCAAAAAGAGTTTGAGGATTTGGGTTGGAATGTTTTGGCCATACTGTGTAACAACTAGGTCTTCGAGTAGAGCTGATGGCCTTGGAGACTCTTCGGAGTTTCTCAAGGATGACACGGTGGCGTGAGTCGTGCTAAGCATGCTCTCCTCGTTATAGCTGACGTTGAAATACTTCGATGTAGAATTATCTGGAATCGGTTCATCTGTTGTGCAACTGAGTTCACTCAAATTGTCGGTCCGGAATATCTTCAAGTCCTCCAGTCGGGTAGTTGTATGCGAGATAGGTTCGGTCAATTGTTGTCTTCGTCGGGTCGGATGGTCGGTGACTTTGTGGATGAGCAGTATCCCCCTCAACAGCAACAACAACAGCCTTCAACATCTTCATATGGTTTCGGCCGCACTTCTGGATCAACTAATAATTGGAGCAGAAATGATAGGAATTCTAGAGATAATGAGTGGTTTGAAAAAGACTTAAATTTTAATAAAAATAATATAAATACTAATTTATCAAATTACAGGAAAAGACCAGCTCAACGAAACTGGAAAGAATATGCTAATACAACATTTGAGAGGAGCAGGACCAATACATGTTTCAACTGTGGGCGCACTGGACATATTGCTCGAAATTGTAATTGGAATACTTGAAGGAAGAATGAGAGTTGGAGAGGCAGAGGAGGAAAATATTAAATTTGTGTTTTTAATCAATTAAATTTTTTTTGTACTTAAATACACATTCTCACTTCCTATTAATTATTTTAAACTGAATCTTATTCATTAATGTAATGTCATTTACAAATCTTTCCCATTATTTGTTTTGGTTTTATTAATCTTAAATTTTTTTATAACATGCCTTACCTATAATTTCAATTTCTTCACTTAATCAAAATTATTTAAATTTATTAATTCAATTTTAATCATAGTTCATTTATTTATACATTTTAAATGTCAATCAAAATGTTTTCCCAATATTTCTTACCTATTGTTAATATATACTTAAATTTTTTTAAACTTTATGCCAATTTGTATTAATCCACTTATATTACATTTTGTCATTTTTTTTACAAAATTTTTACCCTCACTTAAGTACATTTTATAATTATACTTTTAAGCTTAAACTCCCACTAATTCATTAAATTTAATACATTTATTAGTTTAACATTTTAAATTCTTAAATTGTCAAATTTCATTTAAATTGTTACAAATTTTACAATTATATTTATAGGACTTACAATTGATTTACTCCCTCACAAATTATTTACATTTACTCTATTAATTTTTAAAGAATCTTTCACAATTACATTTAAAAATATCCCAAATTTTTTTTTAAATTACTATTTATGCTCTTCTATTATATAATTCCCAACTTCAAAATTATTGTTTTTGCAAACTTTTAAAATATACCCATTTATACCCACAAATCAAATGTTATTTATGTCAAAACTTTTACATCAATTTTAAATGTTTATTCAAAATACTTAAAACTTTTTCTATTAACCTTTCAACCAAACCACTTATACCCAAATTTATTTTGTACGTTATTTTGAGAATATTCCTTTACCAATTCTCTAAATATTTTCTATTACAAGTTTTACTTTACTCATTTGTACCCAATTTTTTTATCACATTTCAAACACTTCGGTAGTTTTCTGGGTTTTTTAAATTTTATTTCACACAATTGATTTATGAATTTATATTTTTATTCAAAGCGTTACCCGTTTAATTTATTTTATAATTTCACAAACATTTCAATGTCACAATTTATCCTTATTTTTAATTTTTGAAATTTATATGCATTTTTACTCGTACCCATATTTTAATACAAAAGGAAACATACTCACCTGAAACCTGAAGAAATTTTAGGAATACAACCCCAACTAGACTAAACAGACTCTGAAACTCTTACAATTACAATTATATCAAACCCCACTACTTAATAATATCAAGTGAAATTTCTCATGAAATAATCGATAAGCACTAAAAATGGACCAGGGTCGGTCCAAAAAAGGAAAAAGGAGAGATATGCTCGAAGAGCACAAAAAGAAATGTGATAAATAAAGAAGAAATTTAAATTAGGTTCGCCATCTCACCAGAGTGCTTATCGATTGAGAAAATAAATGTGAATGGTCATTATTTAAGTAGTTTGGGAAACGATGAAAAATTAAATTTTGAAAAATAAAATAAAGTCTGTTAAGTCTAGATTAAGACCAGGGACGGTCTTGATGGGAAAGGGACGTGTAAGGGTCAAAGGTATTCTCGGAGTTTGTTTCCTATAGTTTATAGTCATTTTATTATTATTCATTTCCCTCCCACTTTTCTCACACATTTAAAAGGATTTGTAATCACCTTGCAAGTGTCTTATTGTTCATTCACTTTAATGAAATAAATAATGTTTTAATAAAGCTTTTAATATTTGGATTTAATAAATATATAAATTGTGTTCAATTGTGTATGCCTGGTGCAGGAGATCGACCGGGGGCCTGATCAACCCTTTGGTTCCTCTTAGGAAGTCCCGGGCATATCCCCTCCCGTATTCCATCATTCTGGGGTTTGGGCCCACCGCATGGTAATATCTTATTCCGGGGGTCCCACCTCTACTATTTAAAATTTTGTCACTTGCTTAGTATTTGATTTAAATAAATTAGAATTTGTTGAATTTCCTTCCCTCTTCCTCTTTAATTACTAAAAAAATTCTTTCATTTAGAAATTAAGTAATTAACGAATTTGTTAATTACAATTTTCCGTTTATATTTTTAGAAGTATTTTTAATTGTATAAATATAAGTTTTATTTTTCTATTCATTCAAAAATGTTTATTTAAAAAAATAAAAAATTATTTGTAAAATAATTTTTAATCACTAATTATATTTAAATTTAAAATTAAGTAATTAACGAATTTGTTAATTACAAATATTTTAAATATTCCTAATATTTTAAATAAATATTGAACACCCATTTTAATTTTTTAATAAATAATATTTAAATTTTATCATTTAATTTTGCCATATAATTTTCTGTTTATATATTTTTTTATATATAGGCCTCGACAAGGCCGAGGTCCTCGCCCATTCTCCAATCTCGGTCTCGGTTCGACCTGTCCTCGGCCTCGGAGCCTCGGTCTCGTTCCTCGCCCAGAACCTCGTCGAGGAACGAGGGCAAATATACACCTCTAAGAATAGACTTTTTTGGATGAAATGGAAGAATTTTTGCTTATCGTCCTTCCAAGAATCTCAAAATTTTCGCCTATGGCGCAAAAAAGAATGAAATCTGGCTTCTTGGCTTACCAAAATTCTCAAAATTTTTGCCTGCGGCGCTGGAAAAGAAAGCAATCTGGTTTGATTCCCAAAATTCGAAAGATTTTTCCTGAACATTGTTGTTCCTTTATATCCAAATTAAACGATATCTCTTTGCTCTCCCATTATCCAATGAATCGTTTTATGGCACAACTTAAACCATACAAACGCCCTAATATCTTCCACCGATATTTATTAAATTCCCCTTAATCCCACTACATCCGCCATATACCGTTTATCCTCACAAATCCCACGATATTCGACCAAGTATGAGTTGTCTGATTTATATTGGGTCCCCTACTGGATCTGAATATGATGGAAATTATTAATTTATAATTATTTAGCAAGTATCTGATAAAATTTAGCAAATTTAATTAAATTTTTAAAGGATTAAGAATTTTTTAAAAACCTCGGATATCATCGAACCTCGACCTCGGACCTCGCTTGAAATTTGACCCTCGACCTCGAACCTCGCTTTTTCAGTCTCGGTGATCCTCGGTCTCGGTTTTTTCGAAAAACCTCGACCTCGCGCAACCCTAATTTAAATTAATTTATTAATTAATCAAAATTGAAGTTTTGATTAAAAAAACTCGGTTGAATATTTAAAAAAATAAAATTTCGTTCAAATTTATTTTAATAATTTAAAAGTTAATTTCATTAAAGGTGTGTTTGTACCAATAATTATTTTAAATTAATTTTTATTTTTTGAAAATAAAAACAAAAAAACAGGTTTTGATAATTATTTAATAAAGTTTTTATTATAATATTGGGGCTTGTGATCACATTCTCGATTGAATTTACTTTAACACATTAACAGTGTTAAGTGAACTCTTTAAACCTTATGACTATTTGATAAAAAATTTTTTATTTAAAAAATGTCTATAATATTTTGATTTAAATTTTATTTTGTAATTAATTATATTTAAAATATTTTTAATAGATTTTTAAATAAGTTAATAATTTTTTCTATTTTTATTTTAATCAAAAATACAACAAAAAATAATTTTTTAAATTTACACAAAAAGAAAATAACATAATTTAAAATAAAATATCCTTTTTTTAATTTTGGTTTACTAAATATTATTTTTAGCTTCAAATGAACAACCATTCAGCAGAAGGGCATTTATTTCACAATAATAATTCTTTAATTAATTTAAATAATTCCTCAAATTTTGAACATAATAATACTTTAAATAATAATTTTACTTTAACTTCAAATGATACGTCTAGTAAAAGCAATTTATGGGAATGTACAGAAATGATATATTATAGATGGTCTGGGAATCATTGGTTAATGGGTAATTTAATTTAACTTTAAATTATTTTGGGTATAGAATATTAAATTCTGATACTAATAAATTACTCGATTCATTTAATGAGACATGACCGGTCATAGAAATAATCTAATCCTTATTTTGAAAATCACATTACTTTATCTTAAATTAACAATAAATATAATTGTATTTATTACTATCCTGCGATTGGAAACCTTGTGATGCTGGTTCAAATTTTTGTGTTTATGTTTGAAAAAATATATCTAGTCTGATTAATTAATAACTGAATCTGTAACTCTGACTCTAACCATAAATCCTTACAAAAAATTTTAACTTTAATAAAAATAATCTATGAGAATGTACATCAATTTGATCACTCTATTTAGTTATCAGTAGGGGGTGGACCCCGAACACTAGGGACGGATGTGGAGGGGGAGGGGAGGGGGGTACGGAGTTTTCAATTTCTAAAAACCTTTTCGGGAACGGGGGTACGGGGTACAACTATGTAGTTATAATAGAATTACAACTAATTATATCAACTACAATAACAACTCTAGTTATGTACTAATTGAAAAATCAAATTTAAAAAATAATTTTAAGGTGTTGGTTATTTACCTATTTTGTTTGTTGGATTAATTTCTGACATGATTTCTGTAATTTATTTCTCTATTATTTTTTTAAAATTAAATTTTAGATTCGCGTATTTTCAGCAAAATCAATGAGAACCAGACAAATAAATTTATACCTTTTGCTAATTTGTAAGAAAATAAAAATATCCATTTAAATTACTAAATTAATAGCTATAACGGATATGCTTATCCTTTTGGATACAACGGTTTCTTTTACAGCTGTCGGATTTGGTTATTTGATAAAATGGAAATGGCTAGTTGAAACTAGGCAAATAAATTATTTTTTAATTCATTTTTGTTAATTATTTTATTTTAAAGTGAAACCCTCTTTCCTTACACCTATCCATTCTTTACTACACTTTATACATTGAGGTTAATTGCTTAAATAAAAATTTTGAAAAAAAGTTTGTTCAGTGTTTGGACAACAATGTTTATGCACGCACATCGTTACTTTGCAATTTGTTTTCCTTTTAAAACTGGAAGAGTTTTAACACTCGGAAAAACAAAAATATTTTTACTTTTAATTATTTTGGCTGCAGCAACATTTAATATATATTCTTCCTTTTTTGTATATAAAATATTGAACTAATCAAAGGATTTTCTCTTCTTTAGTATCGTGCCAGGCGTTGTTATAGCAGTTATTTCCAATCAGAATTTGTTGAATTATACAATATAAACAACTCATATAGAAATGCTATGATTTATATGTATTCTTATTTAGCATTTGTTTTCTTTACTCCAATAGCTGCTTTATTCTTTTTTAATATTATGATTATTTTGGAAGTACGAAAGTAAGAAAAATAATTTTGAAAATTAAATAAGTATAAATTTTATTTAAAAATTTATTAAAATAATTTATAATTTAATAATAATAATAATAATTTTAAAAATATTACAAATTAGTGAACCGCAACATACGGTATCTACAGTATTTTTCGGTATACCACTAAATGAACCAGACAGGTAACTACACAAAAATACCTCTTTTTGCCGTTCACTACTCAAAACTGTATATTTATAACAGAATTGAAAATAGGTCTCGAAAAGTTCATGCCGAAATGAAACCCGACAATTCTGTAAAATATCAAAGTATGGCAAAAGAAATATCGATATCTACAATGCTTATAGCTGTTGTTTGTGGATTTTTAATTTGCAATACTTTGGTTAATAAATATTTAATAAAAATTATTTTTTATTTATCAATATTTAGTTTTTTGTCACTTATGTTCTCGGATTTATTCTTCCCCCAGATACAGTTTTGTGGACTGTTCCCTGGCAACATGTTCTTGTAATGGCTAACCAATTAATTAATGCCTGCATTTTCTACTTATTTATTGACCATTATCGACGTACTGTAGCCAAATTACTTTGGCCCTGCCGTTATGTTTCTAAATATTCTGTTGGACCAACTTCTGTTACAGAAGAAACTAATCTTCAAAGTTATGAAACTTCAAAGTAAAATTGGGGGAAGAAATTAATTTAAATTTTTATTTTTTAAAGGAAAAACCCAACAAATGCAAATCAGTCCTTTTGAAAGGGAGAAAAATAAAGAAGAGAAAATAATACTAATAAAAATAACCAAATAATAAATGATAATTAATTTGTGTTCAAAAATAGATTTTTAATTTTCTAATCTAAATAATAAGTCGGACCTTACTTGTAATTCTTGCTCAGAAATATAGTTTGAGAAACTTTAGGCAGCTTTCCCCATTGGTCGGCCAACTAAAATTTCTGAGAGTGAGAAACAAACAAGATACATCTGATTGAGGTTCGACTATATTAATTCCTTAATAATGTAAAATAAACTTTAAGACTTTTTTCAAAATTAATTTATATATTTTTCAAAACAAATGTAATATCACTAGACAAACTATAATAATAAATTCACCGGATTATTCGATATAAATATTAAATGTTTAAATAATTCCTTCACAGCATATATTTCCTAGTTGGCTGAAAATAAATTTAAAATTTAATTTTTAATGCAATTTTTCTTGGGCTTTGTAACTAATTTTCTTTCGAATTTTTTTATATAATAGCTAACGAGATTCTAATTTACTTTTTGAATTAGGCAAAAAATCTAATAAAACCACACCAAATAGATCCAGCCCCACATTGACCCAAATGGCAACTTCCACGAGGAATCTTTCCATTTTGACATTGTGGACAGCAAAATCCACTACGGCTACAAAAATATCCTTTTTCACACGACTAGAAGATTTTTAAAATTTTTAAATTTTTTCTAATTATTTACCCCTTCCTTGCAATTATATGTTTGTTTTTGTGGTTGACCAAAAGGACATTCACAACAAACTTGAGCAGAAACACATTCCCCTACAGAACATTGCCCCTTTGTATCACAATGTCCAATACTTTGTAACCCCCCACAAGCATCTTTTTTCAAAAATAAATTTTTTGTTAATTTAAACACAATTATACATTGATCATAATCATTATTTTTAGGGCAACAAATATTATTTACACAAGTTTTTTGTGCATCCCCACAATCATTAGGTAAAAAGCATTGTTGATTTGAAGGTGTTCCATCATTACAAATTGCTTTAGAAATAATTTTTTATTTTATTTTAACTTTAATTTTTACCTTGTATATTATTTTGTAATTGATCTGATTTTTGTTTAGAAATTCCAGAAAAGTCTTCTCCACAACATTGATTCCCAAAACATTTTACTTGGATTTGTGTTCCAAGTTTAGGGTCATAAGCAAGTAAACAATCAGAATCTACATTACATTTTTGTCCCATAAATCGATTAAATAATTTATCTTCTGAGCAATATCCTTTAGGGTCATTTATTAGACATAAAATAATTAAAAATATTAGTTCATTTTTTGTAAATTTTATTTAAAAAAATAGTCTCAAATTCCCCGACTTCCGGTGACGGGGTGCAATCCCAATATAAATGTGCACATTTACCATTAGATTTTACACAACAATAACCAGAAATACAAAGAAAATTGTCAGTTTGAAATCCACAATTAAGAGATGTAGAGCAATGACGATTAATATATTTATAGTTATAAGTTGAACAAACAGAACTTCCTCGAGAGAAATCATCCAAACCTTTATTTCAAATTTTTTTTAAAATTGAATAAATAAATCTACCAGAATCTTGTCTACTGGCAGCAGTAGAGCAACAAATTCCTTGGTAACAAAATGTTGTAGAAGGATTTCCACATTCATTAGCAGCAGAACCCGAACAATATTTCCCCTTTTTAATTTAATCTTTTAAAATTTAAATATATATAATTACAGTAAATGTTCCAGAAGGGCATTTATTTGCAACTCCTTGTCTTTCATCTAAATTTGGAACATTCCCTTGATTAGGATTGGGTTGAGTGCAACATTCATCATCAATACAAAACAAACTACCTCCTATATTAATTTTATGAAAAAATAATTTTTAAAATCAAATTAACGATAATTATTCAAAGCTTTAAGCTAATTTATTTATAAAATTTTCTAAAATATAGTTTAACTTTTAAATGAGCCTATATTTATTACCTGCTCCAATATTTTGTTGCTGTCTTCCCTGACATTCTTCTGCTTTTTGGCACCTTTGCCCTAAAGCATTACCCCCATTTAAACAAATATCTCCATATTGAAGAGGTTTTCGATATTTACTAGATGTACAACAAAACCCCTAAATAATTATTAAACCAAAAACTCTACTAAATTAACTACCTGATTTCCACATTCCAAAATAGGGAAAGGAATTCTTGTTACTCCTCCCTAAAATCTTTTCTTAGTAAATTTTAATTTAAATTAAAATAACCGTTCTAATACAATCCTCATTTGAGTGACAAAGTAATTCTACATTAAAGGTTCCTTTAGGGCAAGATTGGTCTTTAGGTAGGTAAACATTAACTTGTGATTTAGGTGTTACTGTTTGACTACAACACCAACCACGAATACAAACTTGTATTTGGCCTTAAAAACTTGGAATTTATTTTAATAGAAATTAAATTTTTGTTAAATTTATTCACACGATCAATTACTTTGGATTAGGGGCCCGGTCCTGTCCGAAAGATAAAGCCGACCCGATAAGAATGAAGCCCGAAAAGAATGACTAAACGTCGACCAACTCGAAAACCCAAGCCCTACTTTGGATAATTATTTTTTCAACTTTGGTTGAAGAGAGGAATTAATCTAAGGATGTGATGCATGAGATAAAAGATAAGTATCTAAGGATGAGATTTAAACTTTGAAAGAGGGTACATTTTGTTATAACTTGTAGCTAGGTGAGTAATTAATTGAGGAAATACTCTATTTAGAATTAATTTGCATAAATTTTTCGCAATATGAGGTAAAGCAACTCGCAAAATTTACTTTCTCATACATAATTATATTGGTTGAGAATTTTTATTTTTTGAAATTAACAATTATTATATACTTGGATCACTCAGATCAATTGGCCTTCCAGAATTACAATTATAATCAGAAATACAATATGTTTGCATAAAACGACCAGAATTTGCGCAAATTTTAGTTGACTGAAGTTGGTTAAATTGTTGTTGTTGTGAATGAACAACAAAAATAATTGAAGGAAAAAAGAAAAGAAAACATTCAACTTTTTAATTAAAATATATTTATTTTAATTTATTAATAAAATTACCTAATAATTGATGTCTTTTTGAATTTAAATAATTAATAAATAGTAAAATTATTTTTATAAATATTACATTAAATTGCATAAAATAATAAAAAATCTTTAAATTTTTTATTAAATGTAATATAATAAAATTAATAGGAAAATTAATTTTTTAGGTAATTCTCATCACTAGGGTTGACGATTCTGGACCGAACCGAACCGACGAACCGAGGATTTTTCGGTTCGGTTCTTCATTTCGGTTTCAGATTTCCGAAGAATTTCCAGGAACCAACAACCCTACTCATCACTGAAACTAATTATTTTTGTTATACCACAAGTCTGATAGGAGCTATGAAAGGAGACTACTAGAACAAAATCTAGAGCAAAAAACTCTCGGTTATCGAAATAGAATTTTTCGAGATTTCCATACTAACTCCCAATCTTGTTTCTAATTGTTAATAGTTGAAAAACACACATATGTAAATATGTAGGTAAATACTCAGAATAATTAACTAATTTCTTTCAAACATATGAAATTTTCTTTAAGCTTAATGAAATTTTCGATAATTAATTTAATTTTAAATTTTTTTGCTATAAACGGCTTTAATAGACATTAATTATTTCATCATTAATCGATGATATTTTTTAAAAATAAATGTGTGTGTATAGATTTGTGTAGAAAAAAATATTTATTAAAAAAGATTTATTTATTTATTTGTTCTAATGTAAACAAAGAAGAAGATAAAGCTTTTTTTAAAAATAAATCCAAATTAGGAGAGTGCTTTTAAAAACGTTTAAAATTTAATAAAAAAAATAAAGGAAAATAAAAATAAATTCATAGACTATTTACAAATTTTTTGTTTGAAAATTTAAAAAATTAATTTCATGGACAAACAAACGGATTTAAGAAAATAAAAAGTGTGGCAGATTAGGACTACATTTTCTATTCATTCTAATAAGAGGCCGGTCGGAATTCCGAAATTTTAGGCTGATTTCCGATATATGAGTTCCGACTTTTGAGCCATTTCCGATTTCCGACAGTTCCGAGTTCCGGCACTTTCGTCATTTCCGCCCAACCTCTAGATTTAATTTTCTTTAAAGTTAATGAAAATTAATTGTAAAAAGAAACTAAATTATAAAAAAATATAGAAAGTACTTTTTCTATTCCTAACATTATATAAAAATTTTGACACCAAGTATAAAAATTTACTAGATTGATATCAAGAAAAACGAGTCCGGACATTTAAAGAATTAAGAAACATCTTCCACAACAAAATCATAGACAAAATTATTAAAATTAATTAATTTTTCTGTCAAAAAGAAATTTGTCTTCGGGAAGTTTCAATTCTTTCACTACTATTAATTTGTTCTATATTATTTTCACCAGATATTCTTCTATTTAAAGCCATAGGTCGAAGTAATTGTGATGGAGGGACAGTAAAAGATTGTGTAAAGGGGACAGGTAAATTGTTATTATTTTGATTAATTTGGGGACCGAAACAGCATTGAGGTTGATAATTAAATAATTCTGCTAAACATTTTCTGACATCTCCATTAAAGGAAAATAAAATTATTGGAGAAATGCTGTTTAAAAGTATTGAAATCTGAAAATATATTTAAATATTATGTGGGGATAATTTAATAAAGTTTACCCAATTTTCAGCAAAAGTAACCAAAAAAGACCATTGCCCTTTAAATGAGGCAAATATAGCTGGGGTTATATCAAATGCGAGATTTTGTATCTCCAAAAAACCACAGATAAGAAAACTCTAAAAACAACCAAAATTTTATTTTTGAATTTATAGTTTCCCTCAATTTTTACCTGAACCAAAAAATTCTTTTCTCTTTGACGCCTAGCTTTTTGTATTCTCTCCTCTTCCTTATCCCGAGCTAAAGATCGAATACTTGATTGGATGGTTGTGGCCCTAACACGATTTTGACGACCAAAAAAGAAACGGATATAAACAAAAGTTGCCAAATAAGCAATTAACATTAAAACAGGCAAATAAGTACTTAAATGGAAGCTTATCTAAAAAATAAAAAAAATTTTAATTATGTATACCGAAGAATAATTAGTATTTCTATGATTAATTTAACAATTTTCTCACCGAACGAAAAATAACTCCAAAAGTAGAAAGTTGTTCAGGACAATCGTGATACATAAAAAAGCCTTAAAAATAAGGGAAGTATTAATTACTATAATAATTAATTTTTATAAGTCCCAATTAACACACAAATTCTGTATTACAACATTAAACACGGTACGTGTTTCCTAAACATTTAAAATCAAAATGCTTTTTACCAGTTTCGGAGAAAGCCTTTTTACATCCAATCCAATTATAACAAGAACAGAATCCAAGAACGTATAGCCAGAGAGCTCCAACCGTTAATGTTATATTGTTGGGTGAAAATAAAATGGTATTAAGACGTGGGGCGAAGAAAACACAAAGACGATTTAAAGTCATTAAAGCAGAAAAATGAAGAGTTGCATTGTAGGCAAAGGTGTCAACAAAAAGTATAACATAATACCAAGTTGGGTGACCATAAATCTGAAAATTTTGAAATAAATGAAGAAACTACCCCTAATAAGATTTTTAATAATGATAGTAATTTGTTAATTCGAGTAAACGATCGAGTTAAAAGATCGCTTATATTTTGGAAAGTAAATAAAATTAATACATATTTACAAATAAACTCACGGGTTGGCTCATTAATGTCACTGGAACAGCAATAATTAATTGGACACTTTGTGTCATTAAATCACAAAAAACCATCTGCCAGGCTAAGGTGAAGAAAGCAAGTCGGCGAAATTGGTAATGCCCCTTAAAATTATGAGAGATTTAACTTTAGTAACATTGGCAAGAAAAGAGTTTAAAATCCGGAAAGCAGATTTGGGACACAAAATTTAATTTAAAATTTGACAAGAATTATATAGGAAAACGCCAAATAACATCTCAAAACGTACATAAAAAAGTACAGAAATTAATAAAGTATTCATAAGAATTGACATTGTCGAGAGAAGCGCATAAGAAATACCGCCAAATATACGTATAGCAGTTGTTGCATTCTCTTGAGGAATAATAGTGGACGAAGAATTATTCATTTTTAAATTATAACTACTACTTAAATTAATTAAAATTTAAAAAAATAAAATTTATATCTCCATTAATATTCTCAAATAAATTTTTAAAATTACTATCAATTTCTTAATAATTTCTGAAGTAATCGTAAAGTTATAAATTGAGGGGCATATGTATCAGGTAATATTTATTTAATTGTTATATTAATACATAATTATAAAGTAAAGATAAACATAATTTTATATTAGCAAACATTTTTTCGTAAAATTTAAAATTTCCATAATTATAATTTATAAATTTTTAAAAAGGAAATTAAGCGGTGGAGTAAATTAGGGGTTATTAACTACCTGTGAATTATTTTTTCTTTGAATTATTAAATAATCGCAATCGTTAACAGGTGTATTATATAAAAATTTCAAGCTAAATTCAGCTACAAAATTAACAAAGTATAAACTAAAATAAAATAAAAGAGTTTTCAATTGGAGAGAATTTCTCGGATATTATCAAAACTAGTTGGATACAGAATTTTCGAGAGAAAAAATATTTTTTAAAAAATCAAAATTTTATTTTTAAGACTACCCTTTTTAATAAAAATATTTTTAAAAATATTTAAATGAATTTTTCTTAAATTATTTAATAAAGTAATTTATGAGAAATGTTAACTTTATAAAAATATTTAAGTATAAGTACTTTTAAAAATAATAAAAAAAATATAAAAATAATTAAATTACTTTTTTTGTTCAAAAATTCTGTTATGAAAACCCCTTTTTTTACTTCCTCTAACAAATTTACATTTTTCACATCAAAACTCAAATAAAATTAAAACAAAAAATAATTAAATTCTTCATAAACAAACTTTTATTTACGCAAAGTTTTATTTTTTAAAAAGCAGGTTGCTAGTAAATAATTAACAATAAAAGTACTCTATTGACTCTAAATTCTTAGAAAGAATTATTAAGAAATTATTGCCTCATTCAAAATTATTACTTTTAGCTATATTTATTGGCAAATAAAATATTTAGAGAGAGAAATTATTTTTGTAATAAATGTTCTCAATAGAAATAAATATTTTAAGTTTTAAACTTCCATAAAGCAATTAACATCTGATTTTGGGTATTAAGTATTAGGGCCACGATTTTTAGAGAGAAATTCATAGGAAGATTTTTATTAGGGTTAGAAAATATTGTATGAAAATACAGTTTTATTTAATCAAAAATATTTTTATTTTGTTTCAAGGGGAAGAAATTTAAAGTCCAAAATAGGAAATAGGATTTTAAGAAATGATGATTAAATTTAAAAAAAAGGAAAATAGGTATGTATATCTTCAACTAATTAGCATAATTCAGAAATAAAAGAGGATTAAACATAAATGTCACCCCCCCTCCTAATTATTAGATCTATCTTTAACAATTTAATATTTTTTGTAAATATTAAACAATAAAAGTTTAGCCGTTTTAAATTAAATTAATATTTTTTTATTCTTTTGATAGAGGACAAGGGTTAAAATCTGAATTAAATTTAAATTAAAATCATAAATTAATAAAAAAATATCTATCTGTTAAAATAATTTTTTAAATAAATTATTATTTTGGAAGTTAAATATTCAAAAAATATTTAAATAAAATAATACTAATAAGGAAATAAGTAAAACAAAATTGAAAAAAAACTTCCTTATTGCTTTATTAAAATAAATTAATAAATTAAATATTATTAAAAAACATAAAAGTAATGAATAAATAAATATTTACAAAAAAAAAATAAAAATTAATTTAATTTTTTTATTTGTCATAAATTCAAAACAAAAAAAACCAAAAACAATTTTACTAATTTAAATTAAATTGTATTTTAATAAATTATGTTTCATTTTAAAACAAATACAAAACTTAAGATCCTGCAACATGCAAAATTTTTAAATGAATATACATAATTATGTAAAATTTAAAAGAGAAAGAATAAAGTATATTTTTTTTCAAATGATATTAACAAATATACCAAATCCGTAGTTGGATAGCTCTAAAACAATTCATATATTTAGTTGGGTAAATCTTGACTTAACCAACTACATATGAATTAAAACTGACCATTTAAATATATTTTTATAATCTCTTATGTTAAGGAATATGCACATCAAAATTTTTTGATATTTCTAATAAAAATATTAGATTTAAACTTTTCGGCTCCTATACAAAGGATTGTTTTTTAAAGGATCTGTTAAAGGATCGTTATGTTAATTAAGATTAATTAATTAATTTATTAATTAATTTATTAATTTATTATTAGTTAATTAAGTTAATTAATTAATTAGTTAATTAATTTATTACATGTTAAAGGATCATTATGGGGAAAAAGTTTAAAGGGTCGCTCATTAAACGATCGTCCATCAAAGGATTGCCACTGTAAAAAACATTCAAAGGATCATCATTTTTCAAAAATAGTTTAAAGCCAGTTCAGTGCCAATAGTTTGGGTAAAGTTTTGTGCCACAGTCTGATAGCGGTGATTAAGCGGGATATCGGGGGATTTGAATGGATTAAAGTGAAGGCGAAAATTTTGAGATGGATATCCGCGGATTTAGAGTATCATATCCGTGTCCATCCATATCCCTCTGTTTAAAAAAAATCTATATCCGACATTTTATGTTATGATTAGGGCGTGTCAAACATGCAAATGCATATTTTGCATGCGGATATGCCATGAGCTGAAACGCTCAAAAATGGTGTTTTTACATCGGTTAGAGCACTTTAGAACCCGGTTCTTAATGCATATTTTTGCATATTTCGGTACTTTCGTGCATATTTGCATATCTGTGCATATTTTGGTAAATTTTGCATATTTTTACCAAAATTTGTGCATATTTTGGCATTTTTTGAAAAATTTTAGTAAAAATCAGGCAAAATTTTCAAAATTTTGGAATTTTTTGGGCAAAAAAATTTTAAATAAAAATTTGTTGAAAATATTTTTCGAAAAATTTTTTCGCGAAAATTTTTTTTTCAAAAAAATTTTTTTAATTAAATTTTAAGTTCGTAAAATCTTTTAGAAGTGCTCTTAAACTGCAATTTAAATGCTAAATTAGTATTTTTTACCTCAAATATTAATTTTTAAAGCATATTTTCGTTATTTTTGCTGTATATTTAGAGCATATTTTGCATATCTTGGTGCATATTTTGGGCTTTTTCGGTGCATATATATGCGCATATTTTGGGATTTTCCGTGCATATTTTGACACGCCCTAGTTATGATCCTTTCTAGGGACACGAACTTTTCCGCTTATAAATTTGTTAATATAAAATATTTGACCGCACCCAGACCAATGCAGGACAAAAAAGAAAATATATAGATGAAGATAGATTAATGAAAAAGAAAAATAGACAAGAAAACGAAAATGGGAAAATTCTACATATTAATATTCCTTGTATGTATGCAAATGCAAAGCGACACATTTATCTGAAATATAACAGAGGCAGTTCATAAAAAATGAAAAGTTGTTTCTTTTGGCTCTAAAAAAACTCATTTGGTTTTCCATTTTTGGGTTTTTCAGTTTTTTATATCGAATTAGTTTTTTCGATTATTTTTATACATATGTATTGTCGTTAATGTTGTTCCTTGACTTGTCTTTTACTTGAGTTAAACCGACACGTGTCTAATAATTACCTAATTTGCTTGGAAATAAAATAAAAATTATTTTTATTTGGTGTAATTAATCTATATTTATTGAGAATATTTAGCAAATATACATAAATCTAATCAAGATGTGTATGGACTCAGCCAAAATTATTCACTAAATGGAGGATATTCGAATTTTAAAAAGTTTCAGATCACTGATAGTAAAAATTTCTTGAATAAGGGGTAGAAACATTATCAGAATCTAAAATTCCAAACTTTAGCATACCCCAAACTTTCATCAATTAAAAAAATTCTTATAATATTAGATAGACTGTTTATCAAACATTTTCCCAGATTACAAAATCTATTACAAAATTTCTTTAAATCAATATTAAATAGGCATGTATAAAGGATGTAATAAACAACCCTTTGTCGGATAAATTAGAGCCTGTACAAATAAATATACTCCATTAATATTAAATTAATTTCACAATAGTCTTTTAGCGCTTTTAATTTAAATTTTTATTAAAAAGTATTTAATTTAGATGTATAATTTATTTATTTTATTTTTTCTAACTTTTTTCGTCGAGGACACAAATCAAACAAATTTAGTAACAGAAAAATTAAAACTTCTTAATTCTTCAATAAGACATTCTTCAAAGTTTAGATCGTTTTTGAATCCAAATGGTAATTTAAATATTAGTCTTAATTAATTATAGATGAATAAGAGCAGTCCTAAGAAAGAAAATCGGATTCTATCTTTAATTTTAAAAAATATAATAAAATTCACAAAATTTCATTAATTCCCAATAATATTTTGAAAATTTTTTATTAAGAAATTTTTATTAAAAGTTATTCAATTTATACATAAGTAAATAAATAATTTGATTATTTAATTTAATAAAGCAAGAGAATACTGGCCAATTCTTAATCTACAGCTTCTGCGTCAACGTAAATTAAATAATATATTTTCGTGTTAAATAATAATTATCAAAAAATGTCATTTTAGCTATAAAATTTTTCAATATTTTTTTAAATTTATTTTAAATAGGACAATTATCTCTACAAAATATGCTTTTACCAAATGAATACTCGCTAGATAAATGTTTTAAGGAAAATTCTGAATATGTTACAATTAATCAACATTTAGTTGAATTAAATTTTCCTTCGTTTTTTGATAATTTTCTGAATTATTCTGATAATCAAAAATTTATAATGGATTTCAATCCATTGGAGATTATGGAGAAAATCTCGAATCATTTTGACGAGTTTGGGTGGCCTGAAGATGAGAGACTTTTAATTGGTGAAAATAATGTAATTAATTTTATTTTTTTTATTAAAAACTTATTTTTAACACTTTAAAAGTTATTGGAACTGATAATCCCCTAAATAAATGAATTTTAATAAATATTTACTTAGATAAATATAAATTTAATTATTTTTGTAGAACAATTTAATGAGTGTTAATTTTCTGACAAAAAATGCAAATTGGATTTTAGAAATTGTAACTCCTAATAAAGAAATAATAGAGGATGTTCAGTATGACTTTGGACATAAAACTGATCAAGAAATGGTTAAAACTCTTAATTTGCTTGAAAAATATGCAAAGTTCGTAATTTAATTAAAATATATTTGTTGTTAATTTTGTTGGAATATACACAATTTGTATTAGTGTTGGGTAAGGAGCTAGCTTTGGAGTGGCTCCACTAGAGATAGGACTTTCTATCCTTCATTATTCATAAAAGTTTCTCCAATTTAAATACAAGAAAACTAAAAAGTTAAATATTATTCTGGTAGTTGTTCAAAAGTAATATCAAAAATGAATTCAAATTATTTTTCAGTTGTGTTTCAACATTTAATAATAAACCAATTATAACATTAACTGGCCCAATATTTACTATACTTGCTGAAAATAAAAGAGAAAATAAATTAAAAGGAAATGTAAAAAGTTATCCTGTGAGTAATTTCTTTAATTTAATTAATTAAAAAAGCAATTTAAAAAAGTTTAGTTCAATTTTCAATTTAAAAAATCACAAAATTAATTTTTATTTAAGTTCAATAAAAATTTAAAACAACCGCCAATTACCCAATTTTATAAAGTTATTGTCATCGAATATGAAATTAAAAATTATTGTGTTGATGTAATTTTTACTGAAGCTAAATTGGGTGTTAAAAAGAATTTTAATAATAAAAATAATATTTTTAATTATGATAATAAATGTGGAAAAGATTATTTAAAAAAGTGGAAATTTAAAAATTATATTAAAAATAATAAAATTATGAAAGAAATGTTTAAAAATAAATTAGAATTTTTGGAATGGTATATTGGGTTTGAATTGGTTGATTTAATTAAAACAATTTTTGGAATAAATAAAATAGGTATTATATATTTATTTAAAAAATATGTAATAATTTTTTAGAAAATTGTGATAATGAAAAAATGTTTAATAAATTAGAATATTCTTCAAATTCTTTCGAAAAATTACCAGAATCATTAATTATCCCAACATTTATGTTTAAATTTAAAAATTTAAACTTGAGCAATATTAATGGAGAAATGAATAAGAAAAATTATACTAAATCAAATATCCGTATATATCAAGTTTATTTTTATTTATTATTATCTATATATCAATCTTTACTAGCGATCAGTATGAGGGGTCGGGAGGGTATCATAAAATCAACATGAGGGGTATCAGCTCTAATTTTTACGATAACAAAAAAATTCTAAGCTAATTTTAACGAAGCTGGCAAGGAACTTTACAAATAAATTTATTCAATCAAAGATACCCTTTGATTTTTATTACTATTAATGATAGATTTAGTGCCATTGCGAACTAAATCTTTAAAACACAAAATTTAGCTTTAAAATTTCTTTTTAAGGATTTCATCGTAAATTTTAATCGAAGAAAGCGAATACCAAATTGGGTTTTGGAATATTTAACTAAAGATAAAATGAATAATTTAAATCCAACTGAAAGAAATAATTGGCAACTTGATCCACACTTTTCTGAAATATTCCAACCCAAATATGAAGATTACGGTCATTCTCAAGTTTGTTAAAGTGTTTTTACAAAGAAAATATTCTTTTGTGATATTTAGTATTTTAATTTGGATCACGGTCATTTAGCAACAGCTTCCTTACATCCACATGAACAAGGATATTATCTTACAAATTCAGTACCCCAATACGACAAAATTAATAAAGGGCATTGGAGGGTTATTGAAGAGTATATGAGGTAAATAAATATTTTAAAATTTTAATTTTAAAATTTGAAAAGTTGTTTGGCAAGAAAAGCAGAAGAAACATTTATTTATACTGGTACTTTATTTTTGCCAAATGAGGAAACAAATTTAATGGAATTTCAAGTAATTAATAAGATACAATTTAAAAAAAAACTATTAATTTTAGGTTCTTGGAGATAAAGAAATTTATGTTCCGACACATTTATTTAAAATTGTTATTCTCAAAATTTTTGTTAATTTTAGTTGGAAATATTGGTTAGAGGCTTATGTAATTACAAATATTAATTTAGATGAGTTGTTTGTTGAGAAACATGGTACTAATCATTCTTTAATTTTTTTTATTAATTAAGATATACGAGTAAGATTCATTTTAAATGAATTCCCTTAATGTATCTTCGTCCGGAAATAAGTTTTATTTTGTTAAGGGGATGGGAGGTTATTGTTATTAAGTCTAATCTTTGTTTAGTAAAGAGGAAATGGGCTAGCTATTTCTCTCCTTCACTAATGCAAAAAGTTAATTTGCAACTGGGACTGAACTACTAGTATCTTCAATTTACCGGACTTCATTACTCCATGTCGTCTCTGTATAGATTTAGTAATTAAATAACTATGTATTCTTTGCAATTTTAGTTAACACAAATCCTTATGCTAATGATGGATCACCAAAAATTGTCCATGATTGCCGAAAGGACGTGCATTTTCTTGAATATCAGCAAAATATACCAAAATATACGGAAAATAATATTCCAAAATATATAACAAATTTACTAGAATATTATAGAAAACCATATAAATTTATTGAAGAAAATAGTGACTTCCGGCTTTTTAGTTTGTTGAGTGAAAAAATAAAGAATGAAAAAGATGGAGTTCTTTTTGATATGGAAACAGAAAATTTTGATAATAATTTAAATGAAAATGATATAAATAAAGATAGCAGTAATAATTTGACATTTGGTAATGTGACAGAAAAAATTGTGAAAGAAATTTTATTAACTAAAGATAAAAATAAAAATATTGTTGAATTAAATAAGAATAATAATAAAATGAATAAAGGAAAGGAAAAAGTTTTTTTATTTTTTAATTAATTATTCTTTTAATTATTTTAGGTTAGAGATAATCAAGAACAATCAACACAAAAATATAAAAAAGATTTTAGTAAGGATTTGGTTCAAAAGAATTTGGAAATTGGTCAAACTTCAGAAACCCAATCTGAGAAATTATTTTTAAATAATTTAAATAAGAATGATAATAAAACGAAAATCGTAGAAAATGAATGGCAGGAAATTTCAAGCAAAAAGAAAAAAGATAAAAAACGAAATCAAAAATTAATTTCTGATAAAGGGAAAAATAAATTAAATAAAAATATTGGATTGTCACCTCTAAAAACGGATAATATACAAATAATTAATGATAACAGAATATTTGAAGAACAGTCGTTAACAAAATTAGCTGTTAATGATGATGATTTGACATCAAAATCAACAGAGGGTTTACAAGTAAAAATTTTAATTATTAAATAATTAATGATTGAGTGTCATTAATAATTAAATAATTAACGATATTTTTAAATGGAGTAGACAGAGGCGGAAGAAAAATAAAAAAGGAAGTCGGCGAGAGACGACAGCGGAAGAGATCCCTGAAATAAAAGAAAGTAAAGGCTCTCCACAATCTGTCTAAAATATATTTTTTAATTAAGTTCTTATCATAAACATTCCATACAAATTTCCAAAGAATAAAACTAAAAAATTTATAGGAAAATTCAAATGAAACAAAATCCGTTGACAGTAAAAATACTGATCAAGGAAAGAAAAATAAAAAGAAATCTAAGGGGAAAGAACAAAAACAACAAAATAAGAATAAATTAAAAATAAAAGAAAATAATTCAGAAGATTTATTTTATATAAAACAAGCCATAAAACAAAATAATCGAGAAATTCAGGAAAAAATTCAACAACAGAAAAAAGCTGAAAAAGAAGCTAGAATAGCTAAAGAAATTGAATTGAGGAATACTAAAAATGATCGAAAAGAAAAAAGAAAAATTAAAAAACAATTAAAAACTAAACAATTACAAGGACAAAATAACTTAGAAGCATTACCAACAGAAAAAGTTTTGGATTTAATAAGTGATCGAATAAACGTGTTGATTGATTCAGCTGAAATAATTTCAAAATTAATAGATAATTTAAATGAAGAAAATTATTTAGAATTTTATTGTTTAATAGACAAAGCTATTTTACATTTTTTTGAATCTATTCAAAAATATTTTTGGTTATTTAATATAAAATTTGAATTAATTGAATATTGGCGATTTGAGAAAAAATTTTATGAAGATTTTTGTACTGCTATTTGTTCAATTTCAAAAAGTTATCCACAAACAATTCAAAATCATGGAAAATTTACCGCTTTTGGATATAAATTCTTAATGTTTTATCAAACGAAAGGAGATGAATTAATTGATAATGTTAGAGGAAATATAGAAAAAGCTTTAGCCGTCGTTTTAAGTGAAAAACAAAAGGCAGAAAGAATTATTTCTGTTGAAGATAAAATTGGTTATTAATTATAAAATAAGATAAAAAGTAGAACACCTCTCTAATACAAAATGTACATATAAAATAGAGTTCGGACTCGGAACGGATCCGGTTTCCGGATTTTTAATTTTTTCTCTATCCGGCCGGATTTTCCGGATCGGTAGTCCGGAATCCGGATATTTTGATATAAACGGGATTTCCGGTACCAGGTTTTTAATTTTTGTAGTTCCAAAATCGATCCGGATAGAGTAAAATTGAAAATCCGAAAACCTTATCCGGCATTTTTCAAATTCCGAACTCTAATTAAATTATTAATCTAGTATATTTTATTAAGGAAGGATTAAGCTTGTTTTGTTTGAAAGATTTATTTTATTTAGATTTAATTAAATAAAATAAAATTTCGTTGATGTACAGAAAATATTAAAAAAACTATTTTAAAAATAATGGGTTGTCAGATAAATAATGAGCCCTTTGCGCATAAATTATACAATTTACTATAACAAAATAATGAAATGAAATCAAAAAACAATTTAATGTCCATTATTATCTAACATCATTTTTTGATACTTTCTCAAATGAATATCGGACTTTATAATGACTTTATACCTTAAACCACTAACCAAATTTTTAAAAAACATCTTACCTATTTTAATATTAAAATAGTAGAGCAATTCTTTTTTATTCTATTTACTTTTTAGATGAATTAATAATAAATCATCAAAATGGAACTTTAATGAACGCGATATCTTTAATTATGGGAAATATAACGAATACCACTCTATATGATTTTGTAAATAATATTTACAAATTATTGCGATATGCAATTTTATTCGAAGAAATTATAAAAATGCAGGATTCTGGAAATGATCAGTTAATTTACCCAGCAATTTTGGCTGTTCTTTACGAAAAATTGTTTGTTAAAAGTTTTTAATTTATTTGGCAATTAAGAGTTTTCAATGAGAAGAATTAAGTTTATCCTTGTCTATCTACTTAAATTCATATAAATTTAACTCTTTTCAAAATGTATTAAAAATCTTGGATTGGATCCCGACTCCATAGTTTTATTGGCTAAAATCCCGACCTGACCCTGACATTCTCAATCCAACAAAATATGTACAACTCCGAGTCTTTCGACACCGAAAATATTTTTCAAATTTAATCTTTAAAATATTTTATATACTTAAAGCATTTATTAATTTAAGTATAACAAAAATAAAAATTGATAATGAATATCTGCACAATATTATTGAAAAAGATGTTTCATTAATTTTAAGTGGAAGGGAAGCTATTTTTCCAATTTTACTTGATAATATTTCAAATGCATTCCAAGATATTCTCTTAGAAAATTTAGTTAATAAAATAACTGAAAAAAATGAAAAAGAAGAAAGTAATTTTGAAGAAAAGGAAGAAGTTAAAATAATTGAAGATGAATTGAAAGTTGAAGAAATTGATGAAGAAAATCAAAAAATGCTTGAAAAAGAAATTGAAAATTTCAAAACAAACATCGATAATTTAATTATAGATAATTTTTCTGTAATTTTAAGTGTTTATAAAATATTTAAAATGTTGGAAGAAAATCATGAGAATTTATTATTGGATAAAGAAAATAATGAAGATTTAAATGAAAATTTAAAAGAAGATGAAAATAAGAGTATGTTTTTATTTTGAATAATACATATTTTTTTATTAATTAAGTGTATTAATTAAATTAATTTTTTAAATAAAATTTTTATAATATAAAATATATTCTAAAAAATCTAAATAAAATATTAAAGATATGAAAATACCAAAAGATGATAAAGGGAAGTCTACACTCCGCCACATAATTATATGAACACCCCTAAATTTCCATTTTTTACCGTATGTAGTAGGCAAATATCTATTTTTAACCTCAATATATTTTAGAAATCGGCCAAAATCGCCTTAGAAAAAAGAAAATCTGAAAATGGTTTCAGGGTAAAATTTTTTTTGAAATTTTTCAATTTTTCGACCGCCACATAATTATATGAACACTTTGGGGTTTCGTATTTCTAAGGGTAGGAAAAATCTATAAAAATTCCAATAGTCTTATTTATTAATACTAAGAATAAATAAAAAAGAACTAAGCCCATATCTGCTTTAAGTGTCGAGATCTTGAACCACGAAAATCAACGTAAAACAGCGGTAAGCAGCTTCGAAAAAATTTTTCGACCCCTTATCGATTATTTAAAATTTTTATTTTAGGCTTACCTGAAAGCCCTTGAAATTTGCTATTAGATACCAGAAATTTTATTTTTCAGAAAAAATACAATTAAGAGATATTTACTTTCATTCTTCCGTAGCGATCTTATAGGGCATTTTATGCGGCAATTAGTCTTTATTTGAAACTTAATGATTTGACAGTTAGTAATATGCCAGAATATTTTTTCTGGAAAATGAGGTAGTTGCTATCTTGCAGCAAATTTCAAGGGCTTTCAGATAAGCATAAAATATAAATTTAAAATAATACGTAATGGGTCGAAAAAATTTTTTGAAGCTGCTTACCCCTGTTTTACGTTGATTTCGAGGTATCGAGATCTCGACACAGGAATGTGATATACGCCTGGTTCTTTTTTATTTTTTCTTAGTATTTATAAATAAGTTTATTGGAATTTTTGTAGATTTTTTCTACCCTTAGAAATACGAAAACCCAAAGTGTTCATATAATTATGTGGCGGTCGAAAATTTGAAAATTTTCTCAAAATTTTTACCGGTGAATAATTTTCAGATTTTCTTTTTTCTAAGGCGATTTTAGCCGATTTCTAAAATATATTAAGGTTAAAGAAAGTATTTTGACATATAAATACGGTAAAAAGTTGTATTTGGGGGGTGTTCATATAATTATGTGGCGGAGTTTATTATGATAGAGGGAGGCGACTAAAAATAAGTTTACACTGATTATTACAAATTTGATGAATATATTATTCTAATTTTATTTGACTTGTAGACTTTTAAATAAATTGAAAGAAAATAAAAAATATATTTAAAAAAATCTAGTGTTGCAGCAAATTATATCAAAGAATTCTAAAATCTTAGATTTTTTCTGATTATTTTATTTATTTATTTTGCCCGATAAAGACATTTTATTATTTTTATTAAAAGCTCTTTTTAGGTAAAATTATTTTATATTATTATTTAAATTTACACAGCTTTCTATTATTATTATTTTCACTCTTTTGTTCTCTAAATATATATTTTTATTCAAATAATTTGTATATTTTTATTTAATAATGATAAATATTTTGTTTTTTAATTTGATCAAAAAAATAGTAGGTCGGGTCATAATTAGTGTCACTTTTTTTAGATTAAATTTTTAAGGGTGTTGTTTTACAAATATGTATGACCTGGCATTGTCTATCCACAATTTTAAGTTCAAAAGTTTATTTTTATCAAATAATCGGCCCTTTTTTGTGAGATTTAGCTTTAATAATTTTTTTATATTTTTTATTTCATTTATTTAATGTTTGTCTCCTTATTTTTAAACTTTTTTTGGTTCTCATTTTTTATTATCGTTTCAATCAAAAGCATTAAAAACTATAAAAAATAGGTGAATAGGTTTGTCTTTTTATTATTTGAATAAATAAATTTTTATTTTATTAAAGAATTTTTAATATTAAATAAAAATTTTTAGGAAATAATATTTATTTATTTATTTAACCTATTTTTATGAATAAGAAAATAATTTTATTTAAAATTAGGAAGAAAATATTTTTTAAAAAATTTATGGAATTTAATGATCACAGAAATTCTAATAGAATTATTTTTCAAATAAATTTAAAGAAAAAAAAACAAATTTAATAAAATAATCTTTAACATCTTAAGTTTAATTTTTCATTTTTTACTTTGAAATTTAAACGATGATTTTTACAAAAAGTTTAATATTTAATTAAAAATTGATTTCTTATTGTTAACAATTTTTATAATAATTAGTCTGCCCTTTTAAATTTTTTAGACTTTAAAGTTAAAAGAAATTAAAAATAAAATGACAGTTTCGTATATTTTGGATTCCTCTACTTCAACTGTTGGGTCATTTTTAAGGATTCTTTTTAGATGGCGAGGATCAGTTTGGAAGTCTGTAAGTAATTTACATACTGTACTTTAAAAACTGTCATCTATACATAAAGTTGCACCCGGACCGCCCTCAAACTATTCCAAACCCTCGTATCATGACACACGCGAAACCTAATATTAATGTGTGTCAGTCTCAAATACACGTCTGAGAAACCTATGAAAAATAAACTTCCATTCATTAATAGCCCATAATATAATATGTATAATATAAAAACCCACAATGAGGAATATAAACCCACAATGAGGACCTATAGAAAGAAGCTTAGGGATTCATTTAAGGTATTCATGGTATCGGAAAAATTTACAGAAGAATTTTAAATTTTATATTTTAGGTACTAGTCGAGGTGATTGTTTGGATCGTTCTCTATTATATCGTTTTTAGCATTTATCGGTTTAGTCTTGATACAATACAGCAAAAAATGTTTGAAAGTATTGGGCGTCATATTGATATTAGATTGCATCTCCTACCTTTAACTTTTATGTATATTATTTTTGCAAATGAATATTATTAAATTAACTTAATTAAAAATTATTTTTATAATTTTTCAGGCTCGGATTTTTTGTTACCATTGTTGTTGATAGGTTCATTTATTATTTAATTTAATTTTAAATAACACTTTATTTATGAAAATTTTGCGCCTAATTAAACCAAATCATTTTATTTCGAATATTTTAATGCAGTTTTACATTATCCGAATGGTGTGGGGGAAACTGGGTGCAATAGGGGCAGGATAACCATAAAATTGAACCCACGGACGGGCTCCGAAAGTACACACATGCAAATTTTTGATAAATAAACTTCTAAACCTTACCTCCAATGCTTATACCAATATTAATTCACAGAAAATTATTTTTCGTTCAAATTTTTTTTATAATTTTCTCAGGTGGAAAAATATATTTCAAAACATAGGCTTTATTGACAGTGCCGCTTTTTACATTAATACTTATATTCGTGGAGATGAGTCAGAAATTAATAATCAACGCAGAACATTATTAAGGTAAAATTTTAAAAATATTTTCCGTTAAAATTTTTAAAGATATTTGTGTTTAACACAAGTTTTGGTACTTCGCGATATTTCTGTACCCGTTAGGAAGCGTTTCCCAAATCTGGATTCTTTGGTTGATTCGGGACTTTTGAAAGTAAAAAAGTTTTTTTGAAAAGAAAAAAAAATAATTTAAATATTACAGAAGAATGAGCGCGAATTATTAGAAAATATACCTTCTGTTGGATTTAATAATTATTGGATACCAATTAATTGGATTTTTGTTATCTGTTACCGCTTGCGTCTTTGCGGTAATATTGTGGCAGATATGTTGATGAATGCGATATTGAATGAAGTTAAAGTGTTTAAAGAGGTGTAGGATTTTTGTTTAATTAGGAATTCTTCAAAAGATTAAAAATAATGAAAAGATTTTTGCTAAGTTTATGAAATTATAAAATAATTTAAAAAAAGCAACAATTATGTACAGTGGTTCTCTTTACGATTCCTGTCTCAAATTTGACTTTTCTTACGTGAAAAAGAGGGGTATCGTTGTAAAGAGTTTTTAATTTAGCTAATAAATTTTAGTCTTATCTCTAATTTTAACAAATGTGATTAATTATAAGAAATTTTTAGAAACTTCAAATCTTGTGTAACTATGATTGGGTACCTGTACCATTAGGTTGGGAAATCGAATAATAAATTAATTTAAACAAATTTGCTTTTAGCATATCCACAAGTTGTCTTCTTAGCTGTTAGAATTTATTTTTTACTTTGCTTAGTTTCAAGACAATACAGAATTAATGAACACGAGAAAAAACAAAATGAGAAATATCTTCAAGTATTTTTTGATTATCCTTTAAAAAGAGAATATCGATCTTACCGTATAACCTGTATTAATTGCCCTCCCTCAAATAATTACCCCCCCCCCCCCAGCGATAGATTGAAACAATAATTACCCCCCAACAAATGCCCTAAAACACGTTCAAATTTCAAACCTCGTATAATTACACTCCCTCGATTAATTCCTCTTTCCAACGGAAGGTCGAAACAATAATTACCCAGGGTAGTTATTAAAGGATATACGGTAATTAGCAAAATAATCATGAAAAGGTTTTTCTAAAAATTCAACCAAATTTTAAATAGATAGACAGAATAATACCCTTAATGACTATTTTGGAACTATTCTTCATCATGGGCTGGGTTAAAGTTGCAGAAGCTTTATTGAATCCTTTAGGAGAAGATGACGATGATTTTGAATGTATTTTGAATTTAATTTTCTTTTTAAAATAATTTAAATAAAGGTAATTTTATAATTGACCGAAATATTGCAATGGCTATGACAATGGCTGACATGTGCTATGACAAAACACCAGAACAGATTATTTCTGGTATCTGTTCTATATGGATAAAAATAACAAATAATTTTAGAAGATTCTTGTGACGATTTATTTAACCCGAAAACTGAGTTGGCCCCTTTATATGCAGAAAGCATTGCAACACAACCCCAACACCCACTTGTCGGCTCAGCAACCTTGTGTAATTTGCCAGAAGAGCATTTGCCCGTTCGGATGGTAGAAAGACAACAAGAAGTAAAAAGAGGATCTAATGGTGAACACGAAGATTTTTTATTTAAAAAATCTCTTCCTAAATTTAGTTGATGATTCCCTTTCCAACACAAACAGTACAGAATTGTCTACTGAAAAGGGTCTAAATTTGCGTCGATTTTCTAATATTTCTATGAAAAAGTTGCGAAATATGCGTCAATCTATATCAATCCCTATACAACCAAAATTTTGTGGAGGGAAGTTATCAAAAATTAGCGAAAAAGTAATTTTATTTTAGTGTTAATTTTATAAATTTTATTAAGCAAATTGAACAAATTAAAAATGGATGGTCACCAGAAAATTTGAAAAATTCTATACACACTATAGAGAGACTGGATGAGACATTGGAGAGACAAAATGATATTACCACAACGCCGGCTAGGGTCTAATATTTATTTTTTGAACTCAGTCTATCCAAAATTAAAATCTTATATCAATATTTCAATTTATCTAAAAATTATTTAAAATTCTAGCTTCGCATTTTAAAAAAAATTTTTAGAAGTTATCTGCACCAGTGTTACTCACTACCACCTCTTCATTACCTTTACCAACATCACCTGAAAAGCAAAAACCAACGAGACCATTCCACTTGCCATTAGCGCCAGTAAATGAAGACGAAAATTTGGAAAGTGAAGAAGACTCGTTTAACAATAAATGTCAGACAAGAAGGGGAGAATAAAATTAAATTTTTCTGTTAATTAATATCTCTGGGCTAATAAATAACAAATTATATTTTGAGTAATTTCTTATAAAATGCAAAAATCCTAAAAATTATTTAATAAAAATCGTAAAATAAATTTATTTCAAAAAGGAAACCAATAAATTATAAAACTCAAAAATTCATTTAAAATGTCAAAGATATCAAAACATTTTTATTTAATTCAACTACAAAACCATCCAAAGAAACTTTTAACTGCCTTAAAAGCACTCTTAACAACACCAACCACCACTTCAATAACCGCACCAGCAGCGCCTCCAACAACTGCCCCGAAAGGACCCCCAACTACGCCTCCAATAACTGCACCGGTTGTGGCAGCAACCCCAACAACAATTTTTCCTAGCGTTTTACCTAAAAATTAGAAAAAAATTTTCTTGGTAACATTTGAGAGGGTTCCACCTTCACTTTTATTTTTCTCTTCCTCAAGTTTATTATTTAATTCTTCAAGTTTCCTTTTCTGTTCCTCAATAGCATTTTTATTTTCTTCAACGCTATTTTTCTCTCGTTGAAGTTTAGCAATCTCTTCTTCTCGCTTTTCAATTTTTTCTTGATTTTGTTTAATTATTTCCTCTTTTTCCAAAACTTTGCGTTCTTGTAGCGAAATACGTCGTTTCAATTCATTAAGAAGGCGACTATATTCGATGTTCTGACGAGTTACAGTCTACAATTTTTTTTTAAATTTAGATTTGTTGGCAAAAAGATTTCAAGTTTTCTTTGGGTTTCAAGCTTGGGGTTGGAGACAGTTGGAAGTAGGGTTCATCCCCATTACAGGGGAAGGGAACTCCCCGGAACGTGGGAGGGGGAAGGTCTGCCCCAGAGCACTCGTTCCCCGTTGTTCGAATTCCACGTTCCCCGTACCTATTCTCCGGGGACGGGAAAAATCTACACTATATAATTTTAAAAGGAGGAAGACCTGCACTGAATACCTTTATTCTGCAATTATGGTGCGGCTCCGAAAATCATTAACTTCAATGGTTTTTTTATTCCCTCAAATCCCCTTATCCTTCCCTAACCCACTAAATTTAAAAACCTATGATTAAAAAACAGAAAGAATCAACAAAAATTAGATTAGCAATTATTTAATTTCACCTCTTGCAAATCCTTAATTTGAGATTCATATTCATTATTTTTAGGATTATCCCCTCCATTGTCGTCAGGATTAGAAGAAGAAGGTTGTCCATTATTATTAGACAAATTCGGAACTTCTCTATTATTTTTATCATTTACAGGCTAGAAAAAAGTTAAATACATAGTAGATTATACACGTCGGCAGAAGGATTTTCATCTTTATCTGAGTTTCAAGTTTAGGGTTAGGATATCTCAACACCCAAACCAAATGTTGGGGACCGGTTGGCTTTTCATTTTTCGGTTCAATTTGTGGATACTTGGCCTGATTATGAGGCTATCCATTAACTTATCCATAAATTTCGGATAAATATAGTACCGTATTTCCTTGAAGCCCCATGCTAAATTAGAGCCCCACTTTGAAGGATAGTTGAAAAATAGAGTCCCATGGGACTCTATTTTAGGAACTACAGTATTTCCTAGGAAATAGGCCAAATTTTCTTCAATTTAAAAAAAATGCCAACAATTTATTTTAACATTTTAATTTCTACCTCTTGCGAATCTTTAATTTTAGATTCCTTATTTTTCGGATCAACATCCCCTCCATTGTTGTCAGAATTAGAAGAAGATTGTCCATTATTATTAGACAAACTCGGAACTTCTCCATTATTTTGATTATTTGGAATTGTTGTTAAATTAATATTTTCCTTCTTTTCTTTATTTACTTCCCCCAATTTATTTACTTCTCGAAAATTTTGAAGTTTTTCCCCTTTCTCCTCAAAGAAAATTTCGATTTTATTAAATTCAATAGTATTTTTTGAAGTCAAATCGTTCCCAATTTTAGCAAATTCCTCAGCTAAATCCTCTTTCTTTTCTGGAATTAAATTTTCTTTACGGTAATATTGAACCTGATTATTATTTTCCTCCCCAATTTCTCCCCTATACTTTTCGTCTTTTTATTTGTTGCTGGCATGCGTGTCAGGGCAGTTCTTCGAACGGACACGATTTCGACCGAAAAAACTTAGTCGGACAAAACTTCGTTTTACCAAAACTTCCTCCGGCTAAAACTTCGACTGACCAAGTTCTGCCCCTCAATCTTGGAATGTACTTATACTTATATAAAATTAAATAATCCTTTTTGTTTGATTGTATGCAAAAATTAGAAAGGTAATTTGAATGGAAAGGAAAAAATCTCACCATTTTGCAAAAATATAGGGGAAAAATTGGGGAGGAAAAAAGAGGCCTGTCCGGTTCAATATTACCTTCTTTACTATCAACAGGTACTTCTTCTACTTTAGGTTTTTCAATAATTGGAGTTGTTACATTCTCTAAAAAAATTAAAAAAAATTATTTTTCACTTTTCAATTCACCAAAAATCTTTCCAACATAACTCTTTCCAGTATCAATCACTTCTCCAACAAAATTTGTTAAAGAACCAAGCCAAGAAGATTTCTTCTTTTGTTTATTTCTCAATTTCTTTTCCTGCTCTTCCAAAATAATTAAACGTTGCTCTTGTAAAGTAATTATCTCGTCTTGCTCGTTTGTCTTATTCTCAACATTACATAGACGGTCATTTATTTCTTTAATTGCTTTCAAATTCTCTAATTGAGCATCATCTGTAAATAAATTAATTTTAAAACAAAATTGGGTACTTGTGAGTTAACCCAAACCAGGACTTTATGCGGATGTACAGAATGGTCAGTCTTTCTCCCTTCTCATTCTTTTTCACTTTGGAATTATTCAATGAAACATTAATAAAGAAATTGAGAAGGAAGAACATGATTCTACTAGAACTGGCTTTGTATAACTCACAAGTGACCAAAATTGTTTAGTCCTTTCAAGGAAGACTTTTAATATTTTATAAAATTAGTAGAAAAATAAAATTTGTTTTTTAGTTTTTTTAAACAAAAATATCAATACCCTCATTATTTTGCCCTGCCATAATATTGATAGAAATGTAAGAGGATTAAAATTTACTTGAACTGAAAAATAAAAATTACTAGAATTTATTGAAATGTTAAATTTTATTTTTAGATTCTAAATTAATATTTGTAAATTAGTTGTTGAAAATCAAAAAAAATTTTTTGACAAAAAAATCAATTTACAGACACGGACATTTTTGCGCGGGAACTTTTTGGCAGCCATTTTGTCGCAAAAAGCTTATGTATATTTATTACTGTAATTATTGTAATAGAAAGCCAATAGAATGAGAAATTTCAGGGGGTATGAAAAAATGCCTGTTATTCTATTAGAATAGGTAAATAAGTAAATTTTTTAAAAATATCCCTAATTCAAAAAAACTCTTCAAACATTCATAATTTCATTCCTGATTCTAACATTGTTACCTAATTTGCATTCTTCAAATTTATATACTTTAATTCCTCCTCTAAACAGAAAACATATATGTCGGCGGTAATTTGGCCGCGGACATAAATATATAAATTAAAGGTTTTATAAAAGTCAAAATTAAGTAAATCTGGAAAAGATAAAACTTCAAAAATTTAAATTTCAAGGTATCCCTACCAGAGGGCTGTCCGCAACTACTCGGCTATGGTTCACCTTAGCAACAGACTGAAAGTGATGTTTTTCTAATGTAAAAAAATGTGGAAAGTGTAAAAAACACCATAAAAGTTCTCAAAACGGTGCTCAAAGGCATTTTTTCCCGGATTTTCAGACCCCTGAAAATCGAAAACCATAGAAGTGACCAAGCTGATTTTTTGGGGTCAAAAAACGAATAAGCAAATAATAGCTCGTTTGAAAGAGCTCCGCGAACTGAGTCGAATGACACACCAGGGCTGTCTGCAACATAGGATTGTTTGGTTTTTGTTTCCGAGGACTGCAGATTTTAACTGTTTATCATTCATTGCCTACACCTACGCAAATCAATTCATTAATTGTCAAGCATTTCCTCTCCATCGTTTATTGTCAATTATTGACATGTTGGAAATTAAATATACAGCTAGCTACCCACTCCCCATATTATAGCATCGCTCTATAAGACTTACATACATACAAGATTGACAATCAATTTTTTATTTACTAAAAAATTTAAAATAAATTTAAATAAAAATTATTTTTATTTAAAAATTAAATGTAAATTTAAATGTATTTATTAAATAATATTTATTATTTATTTCAAATTATATTATTTTATAAAATTATTTTGATTAAAGCGCAGACAAATAATCATTGTAAAATTATTTTTAAATTTAATTTAAAAATGTTTAATTAAATAATTAAGTTATTAACAAAAATGATTTTCCAAGATTTGTTAAACAAATTTTCATTGATAATGTTGGGGAAGATGGAATAAATCAGTCAATTTATTTTAAATTAAATCTTTCAATTTTAAATTTAAATATTGAAGAAAATTTAAAATTAATAGAAAATGTTTTAAATAAGAATAGTACTCAAAAAAATAAAAAATCTGGAAAAAAGAAAAAAGGAGGAGACAAACAAAATAGTAAAACTGATGTAGAAATATCTGAAGAAAATAAAGAAAATTTTAAAGGAAAATATGATGAATTAAAGTTATTAATTTCAAAAATTAATGAAAAAGAGTTGAATGAATTAAATAGAAAGGATATTAAAAATATGCTAGAAATACATTTATTTTTTGAGGTTAAATTTGATGAAATTTTTAATTAAGAAAGAGTTTAGCAAAAGTTTAGCCGCCGGCGGGCAGGATTGAACCTGCGACCTCCTTGTAGTTCGCTCACCACAAAAGCTTCGTTTAACTCTTACCTATTCATACAATTATGGTAATGTCAAGGGTAGAGAAAAATTTGGATAGAATTTGTTCTAGTTTCTGTTATCGGCTGTGGATAACCCGTAAAATCCTTGATATTTACATATGTTAATTATTTAATTATCTTCTTGTAACAATCAGAGCTGTTTTTTCATCAAGTAATTTGTCTTTTTAAATTTTATTTTCTCTAGGAGTTTAAAGGTAGCATTGGAAATAAACCCTCAACCTCCGATTCCTCAACTTCAGTAAAAGAAAATATTTTATTAAATGATGATTCGATAAATAATTATGTTGATTTACTCCAAATTAAAGAAATTACAAATTTATTAATTGATAAAACAAACACAAATAATTTAAGAAAGTCAGATTCTAATGTTTTTGCAAAAGAATTTTATAAATTACAAAAAGAAAATATTAAAAGATTTAAATTTGTAAAGAAAAATATGAGAAAATATTTAGGTGGTGTTAATATGTTTAATCATTTAGAAATGCCTTTTCCTGTGCAAATGCGAATTGGTTTGATTTAAATTAAACTTAAAAAAAAGGGGGGAGGAGTAGGGGGGGGGGAGAGGTTGGAAAAATATTTTTGAAGCACTCAGAAATAATTATGCGGTGTTGGTATTGTTGAGTTAATATCAAAGCTATTTAGATTAAATCCCATTCAATCTTGAGATGTTTTCTGAGATTTGTTTTATTGCTTTTCGAAATTATTATCAAACTATTTTTGAGTTTTAACTGATTTTTTGCTTAATAATTATTTCTTTAAATTATTTAATTAAAATTTATTATTTATAAAATTAATTTTAGACGTTCTCGATTTAGAAATGGAAGAGAAAATTTATCGTCAGATTTTCTTTACTCCAACAATTAATGAAGAAAATATTAATCTTTTAAATATTGGAATAAAATATTCAAAATTAATGAAAATTGCAGTAAGAAAAGTGATGGGAAAAACAGGAAAAGATAGCGATGAGGATGAGGAATATTTGATTAGAAGAAACTATGAAGGTAAAATAGAACATGTTGGATCAAGTAAAGGCAAAGAGAAGCAAATAGGAGATGAAGAAATCAAAATTGAAAAAGAGGTAAAATTCAATACATACTTTTATAATTTCTAATGAGTCACATTATTTGATAAAAATTAAAGGTTGAGACCAAACAAGTGGCCAAAAAAGAAGTTATAAACGAACCAAATTGTTTGTCGGAATTTTTCAAAAAATTTGAGAATTTTTTGCTTAATAAGACTATATCAAAGGATTTAATCCCTACCTTTGCCGAATTTTTATGCTTAAAATATTTCAATGGATATGGAAAGAAAAAAACATATAGTAATCAAGAAAAAGATGAAAAAAGGAATAAACTACTTGGTGATTTAAATGAAAAAATTTCGAGAGATTTATTAGAAATATACAAGAATAATGAACAATTTCAAAAAGATTATTCAAACGAAAGGGGTGTTAAATGGAGATTTATCATATTTTTTGATTTAAAAGATTATAAAAAAGTAATAGAAAAAGGAAATCCACTCCTAATTAATAGTAAATTAATTTAATATATATTTATTTTTAAAATTTAATTTACTAATAATTTTATTTATTTGATTTAATATTAATTAGAAATTAATTTTAATCCTTTTAAATCACTCTATATCCACAGATCTACTATTTAATCATTTTACATGACCTTTAATCTCTCTAAATTCACTTATGTATATCCACAGATATACCATTTAATCCCTTCAAATACTCTTTGATTCCTACAAATTCTCCTAAATCTTTAAAAAAACTAACGTAAATAATCCAAAAGCGCATTATTTCTATTTGATTGGATATTTTTTACCGTCCCTTAATTAAATTTGTTTTCCTTGAATATATTTTTATAAATTCAGTCACTTTTTTAAATTTCTGATTTTTTATTTTTATCACAAAATTTTCTTGAATTTCAATTAAATACTAAAAAATAAATTAAGAAAAAAACGAAGATGAAATCCTCAGCCTTCTAAAGCAAAACTATTTTGAATTATATAATGAACATTCAAGCGCATTAAATGAAGAAAAAGCTTTAATTTCTGTTGATATTTTAGTATCAATTTATTCAATTAATCAACAAATGTTAGATAACTTTCCCAAACAATTATATGGAGACTGGGAATATTATTCAACATTAATGTTAATTTTTGTTGATAAAATTTTTGTTGAAAATAAAGAAATAACAAAAGAAATAAAAAAAGAATTTACTAAAATAATGAATATGTTATATTTACTTAGAGTTTTGTCAGATGAAGAAATTTTGTTGCAAGGTGAGTAAATAATGAATAAATACTATATACAATTGTTAAAAAAATATTTCTTATTCGCGTTATTTGCAGAATGTTTATACCTACAAAACGGTATAAACAAAGTCTAAGTTGTTAAAATTCACCAGTCTTCATACATAAAAATTTTATTCAAAACTCGATAAAATTAAAAATTTTTTGGGAAATTTACAGTCCCAAAAACTAGTTTGCGACCTGGGTTAGTGTATGTGGTCTGGGCATAACTCTATATTTACGTGTTACTAATTATTAGATATTTTGTTACTATAAAATTATATATTAGATTGCACAGCAGATATAAAATGTTATTTGGAAAATGAAGTCGAAAAAAGAATTCGAACCCATATTCAAACAACATTAGAAAAAGGACAAAAAATACAAAAAGATAAATTATTAATTGATGAATTAGATCAAAAAAACTGGCTAGAAAGTCGACATAATCGTGTTATTAACCAATTAGGTATGTAGACAAGAAAAGGAGTTTTGATTTTATTAAAATTATTTAAATGTATGTATAGAGTCGAATCTTTTTCTAGTGTACACTTTTAGTGCTGAAAATAAATTAGTAAATGAGTTATTCATTAAAGTTGAGGTTTGGCATCTACTACTTTTCTCAACTAGCCAAAACACATTTTATAAAAACGTATTCTAAACTTAAGTTGTGGTATATTATTAATAACGAACACCGACTTTAAATTTAATTTTTATTTTTTAAGGTTTAAATTCTGAAAAACTAAACAAGCTTTTAGTGAATGCAAATGAAATAAAGGTATAATAAAATTATTTTTAACTAATTAAACATATATTATAACTTATTATTCTACATATAACTTATTATTTTTTCAATAAAAAAATCTAACTCTAAATTATATCCACTAGACTGAAAAGCTGGGTCTTTTATTTTGAAATTTATTTTTCGAAAATTAATTAATTAAACGAAAATTATTTTAAAAATTTCAGGAGAAAAACTTTATTCATTATGAAATTAAAGGTATAAACAATATTTTAAATTTAATTTTTATTTTAAAAGTTAAGCTGATACAATGATTATTTACGAAGAAAATTTGAAAATTTTGTTAAATGAAGATGAAGATAAAGTTAATATGGAATTATTTAAGCCCGTACAAAACGATTCAATTAGTTGGTATATTCAAAATGGAGTTTCAATTATTTTTAAAGTATTAAAATATAATTTATATCTGTAAATTTATATAATTCTTTTACAAATTTTGTGTTGTAGGCGGTACGACAATTGCGTATACGCATGTGCGGATGCGACGATTGCGGTTATAAAATTTTTAAAAAGTTTAAGATTTTTTAAAGTTTTCAGTGCCACATCTTTCTAAAAATGATTCTGAAACCGTCAGAAGTCTGAAGCTGAAAGCCGGGACGAAAAAACGGAATATCCTTTAAATCATTTTTAAAATTAAAAAAAATTTTATATCCGCAATTGTCGTAACACCAAAAGATTCCCTCAATTTCCTAAATTCGAGAAAAGACTTTTTGTCAGAATAAACCTTATTTATTAAAATAAAAATACTGATAAATAAATCAGTATATTTTTAGTAAAAATTTCATACGATAATTATTCAAGTAATACTTTATTTATTATTTATTAATTTTTAGGAAATACCCCCAAATTATCATAAAAATCCTGAAGTAATTTCATTATACACCGAATGGGTGAATATTAATATAATTGTTAAAAAACAATTTGAATTAAGAACTCTTCAAGAATTTTTTTATAAAAGATTGGTTTGGAATGAAAAATTATGTAAAGAATCTTGGTGGAAAGAAATTATTATAAAATCTTTGGTAAATTATTTAGAAAAAAAATTTTTCTGATCTCCGTTACTTATAGGGTGGGACAAAACCGTTTAATTTTGAAAAAACCGTATACCGTTTATGCCGTTTATCTGAGACCCGTATACCGTTTCGTTTATTTTTAAAAACCCGTTTACCGTTTACCGTTTAGCTAAACGGTTTTGTCCCACTCTAGTTACTTATATTAAACCTTGCAGGATAAAATGCCTACAGTTGGAATATTTATTAATGATACTGATTTTGATGATTGTAAACCTGAAGTAATAAATAAACGTGTAGAGGAAATAATTGATAGATTTGAATTACTTGACGTAATTTTTAATATTTATAGAATTTTTAATTACCTAAAATATAAACTTTTAGGTAAGTGAAGATATTTCATATAATTATTTAAATTGGATTCTTTCAAATTTGGCTGGCATCCGAAATCTTATATATAGCGCTGATAACGAAAAACAGTACTTTCAAAAAAGAAGATTGTTTGGATTTGTAGGTCCCGAAAACTTTCTTAAAATGGAAGAGAGATTTCCTACATTTTTTCGAATAAGTGAGTAATTAATAATTAATTATGTAATTAATTATGTAATTAATTATCAAAAATCATAATAGATTTTTTGATATCCGGCCGTTATGTCTAGATACATAGACCCAGAATTTTAGTGAATTTTGTTTACACATATACATATTTTGTTTAGACACGAGTTTTGTGAATAGCTTATATAGATAAATCTATTGGCTTAAATTAAACAGTATAGAAAAACTTCATTGAAATTTTGTGTTAACCACTACATCGTTGTTATTTTTTTTTGGCATAAATGCCTATAAATAATTAATTTAACTAATTTTATATTAAAGTGATTGTGTTAGATGAAATAAAATATTTTCTTTATGAAAAATTAATTACATTTGAAATTGAATCAAAAAAATCTAAGAAAGCTGAGTTGCGTTTGGTGGTACCATTACTTTTCTGGGAGCTTGATGAAAAGATTTTCAGAGTCGCACCAAAGGTTGATAACGTTGTAAAAGTGAGAGATTTTTGTAAATATTTTTATTTCAAATAAAAATAAATTTTTGATTCTTTTAGTTTGTTGATAAGAAAAAATATTTTGATAATAAACTCTTTGACTCAGGAAAAGTTTATACATCATATGGAGCTTGCTTAATTCTCAGTTTTATTAAAGTCATTAATAATGTGTTGAAATTCGATAATAGAACAGCCACGAGGTATTTTTTTATTTTACAGGGTGCGGCAAATTCGCGCCACTTTTTCTTTTTGTCATAACTTTCTTCAAAATTAATGAAAATTGATAATTCTTTTTTTGTTTTATTCCCAACACTTTAGGAAACTTGCTGATACCAAAATTGCTTTTTAATTTTAAGTTTACTCTGAGTAAACTTCCCTCAAAGTTTAAGCAGAATTTTTTGGATAAAAATTGGCCTAGATTCAAGGCTGAGATTTTAATATTGGAAATACTTATATCATTCGAATCAGCTCTTCATTCTGATTCGAATGACATAAGAATCAGGGGGCTACGACAAAAATCGAATGAGATACGGTCCTCTGAATGATAAATTAAAATAATTTTGATAAAAATAAAATTTTTGTGTAAAATTTTCAAAAATGAGATTATAAGATATTTCGATACTCCTGAACGAGATGAGTCGTTTAGTACCAAAATCATTGGTATTGCACGATTTTGACCGAAGTTATGATCAATTAAACTTTGGCATAAAAAATGTTTTTAAATTTTCCAGACTTTCGAACTCGATTATCTTTGCCAACAGTGAACCAAATTTTTAATATTTGGTATAAGCAAGTTTCCTAAAGTGTTGGGAATAAAACAAAAAAAGAATTATCAATTTTCATTAATTTTGAAGAAAGTTATGACAAAAAGAAAAAGTGGCGCGAATTTGCCGCACCCTGTAAATGAACTAAGGAATTTAGGAAAGTTATTAGTCATATACGGGTTATAGGGCGGGGTATTTATAGGAACAATTCACTTGTCCGTTAATTCATATACGAGACGTGTGAATCATGTACTATGACAAAATTCTTGATTTTTTGAACATCTTTAATTCACAATTTCATTCTCAAAATGTAGAATACCTGAACTGTCCGTCAGGGGTGTGCCGAAACCGATTTTAAAAAGCGAAATGCGAAAAGCGAAATTCGAAAGTTATTTCAAAAAAGCGACACGCGAAAAGCGAAATGCTAAAGTCCAAAAACGCGAAAATCCGCGAATACGAAACGCGAAAAGCGAAATTCTTAAAATGTTTCCGGTATGATGGGAAATCTCTAGAGATTTGTCAACTCAGTGCTTTGTTGCAAATCAAAGCCTCAACTGAGTCATGCAATAGGATTTTGACGGGCATCAGGAATATCAAGAGATTTGAAGGAATACAGACATAAGCCAGGTTCCATCCTTAATTTTATGTACTATATTTTAGGATATTCGATAGTCTGTACCTCGCTTCGAAAAATTTCCGTAGAATATAAGTGGAATTTTGGTGGATTTTCGTTTTAGGATTTTGGTGGATTAAGAGGGGCACCTATGTATTTGGATAAATTCCGAAGTATATGGAGGATTTGAGTGATGGCGAATCTAGGGGGACAAACTTATGAAAAGGTTCTTCCATTTTTAGCGCCGCATGCGAAAATCCGCGAAATGCGAAAAGCGAAACTGGCACACCCCTACTGTCCGTGTGACTTCGGAATGAAATTTTGTAGACAGATAGATCATACCCTACTTTAGTTGTGAAATTTTCACCAATTTCACTTGCGTCGTAAATCATATACGGAACCAGCAAAATTGAATTTTTATATTGAAATTTTATATTCTTGAATATTTTGTTACCGAGTACTAAGACAAAATCCTTGATTACTTGAACATCTTTAATTCATTTTTTCATTCTCAGAAAAATTATCGTTGATTGTTATTTTATTTAAAAATTTTTTTATGAATTTTTCCAGTATATAATCCTAAATTTAAATTTGTTCTATTACAGTAGAGAAAAAGCTAATTTCAAAGCGGCAAAGGAAGCATTGAATAATTGGGACGGTAAAGAATGTAAAAAAGAGAGAAATATTGAAGAAGCTTTTATTCAACAGAGGGATATATTGAGAGTTAAACACACACAAATTTATAAAAAATAATGTCGAGAAATTTAGGGGGAAAATAATAAATAATCCTGGAACTTTAACAAAAATGTTACAATTTATTCAAAAAGATAAATTAGAGTTTCTACAATTGGAAAAATGTAAATTTATTTTTAAAACTAAAATATTTTTATAAAATTTATTTTAAGTAATTTTTGATAATGAATTTGTTAAAAAATATTTTATAAATGCCTTAAAACCAGAAATTGGCTTAAAATCTGTTTTAGCAAATATGATAGCTTTAAAAACAATTTTATGGGCTCGTTGGATGAATAAACTATTAATATCAGAAGAAACGAGTGATTCTGGATTGTCTCGAATTATTTTAAATGAAATTTGGAAAAAACGACAGTCATTTTTTATACGTAAAATTGACGAGAATTTTGTGTTAGATTATTCAGATCTGGCAATTAATGAAGATGAAATGACATTAATTCAGGCTAATTTTTTAAATTTATTTTTGGGTTATTATAGGGAGTATATTTACACTATATATTATTTATTAGCCACAAAAATTTAGCTTATTTGAAGATAATATAATAATTTATAATTTATGTCACGGACATCGTTTTTATTCAAAAATACCACTTTAGAGCAGGACTGATCGAAATAATCTTTTTTATCTTATTCCGAATGAAACGAAAGGGAGAAAGAGAAGCGAAATATTTATCTACCCTGCTTCCTAGTTAAGAAAAATAACAAGAAAATTTGATTGGGGGCTAATTAATCAACAAATTTCTCAAAAAATCTGTCTGTATTTGATTATTTTTACTTTACGAGTATTTTAATAGACCATAGACCTCATTGTTGAGTTTATCTGAACAATATAGAGATAAATAATATAGAACCCAAAAAACTAATTTTAAAAATAAAATCTTCATAATAATTTAAAAATTCAGATTGAGTTAACAGAATTTGCTTTGGATCAACTTGACCTAAATATTGTTGTAGATACGACATCAGATAAAATGAAAAAAGAATGGAGGGATTTGGAATCTGGTAAAATACAAAAAATTGACAAAAATTCAGAAAAATATGAACAATATATTAATTGGATTAATGGAAAATGTTTAGAATATTTTGAACAAATATTTAATGATAAAGAAAAGCAAGAGATTAAACATTGTAATTTTATAGAAAAATATTTTTAGGGGTTGATCAAGACCGGTTTTAAAGTCAAAAATTTTGATTATTCTTTCAGAAAATTTTAAAAAATTCAAAATTTTTGGGAATTAGTGATGGGTAATACCCAGAAATGCCCAGAAATGGGTATTTATTTAATCTAAACTGAATATCAAAAACCGGATTTTTAAATATGTATTAATCGAAACCAAGGGGTACCGTTAATAACCGGTCGTTCGTCAACAATCCCATTATATGTATATAACAAAATTTTTTAAATTAAAGTATTACAAAATAATAATTTGGCAAAATTATATTTTTTAAAAATCGTTGGATATAATGGAATTAAAGAAATTTTTACGAAATTTGAACTTTCAATTAATTATGAAGATTTTGGTATAAATGAAGAAAAAATGGAAGAAATTATAGAAATAGAAATAAATGATTATATAGATCCAAATGAAAGAAGAATAATAGAAAAGAATCAAGTAAAAAGCGAAGAAACATTATCTGAAATTTCTGAAGATAGTAATTATGAAAACAAAGAGTTAAAAGGAAGGAGTGAACATGGAAGTGATGAGATAAAACAACGTAAAAGTAAAAAACAATTAAAACGTGAAAAGCGATTGAAAAAAGAAATAAATAAAGGAAAATATACTTTAGGTAGTTTTTAAATAAATATTATTATTATATTGATAGTAGTGATGTTCGGGAGAAAATCCGGGAAACGGGAGTCGTGTCGGGGAATGACATCGGGAGTCTGGATCGGAAGTCGGGAATTTTTAATAAAAAAATTTTTTGCGCCACTCGGGAAAATTTGCCGAAACGGGAGCCGGAATCGGGATAACCGAACATCACTAATTGATAGGAAGCTTAATAAAAACGCACCAAAAATCCTAATTTTCAGTTTGGATTATAATCTTAACTGAAAATCCTTTTCTTTTCCTTTAATATAAAATAAAAAAATTTTTTTAAAGATTTCATGGAAAATATAAAAGAAAGCAAAGACGATAAAATTAACGAAATAATATTAAAAGAGAAACTCAAAAAATCTCCATTTGAAGTATTTTTAATTAAATTAAGAGGGAAAATAGTAGAATGTCAAAATTTGGATAATATTGAAATAACATTAGGAGAAATTGAAAAAAATTTAAATTTGGCAGAAAATTTAATTATACTTGAAAATAATGAGGATAGAAGATGGTTTAACGGAAGAAAATTAATTTGGGAAGATGAAAAGGAAAAAATATTGGAAATTAATGAAATTGATTGTGATTTATTAGAAAAAAAGTTGACTGAATTTTTGGAAAAAAATATTCTGGAGGAAATGAACAAAAAATTGGTATCTTTAATTCTTATATAAATTCTGATATTTAATATTTTCACAAAAATACATAAAATAATTATTTTAAATTGGGATTTCAAAATTAAAATTTTACTTAATTTTATTAATTAAAAAAAATTTTTAATTAAATATTATCCGGAAGCTAGAAAATTTTTCGATCAGAAATCCTCCCGACTTTTTCTAATATCCGTGAAACTAGGGGATGAAACAAAAAATAAAAGGCAAAAAACGAACGAAACTGAGAGAAAAACTGAAAATCTCAAAGCTATCACTATAACTATCACTATCACCTTTCATTGATATTAACTATAAATTAAAATTAATTATTATTTTTATTTAGCTTCAAAAAGAGATTAAAGAAAGAGAGGAAAAGCATCTTAAATGGGATGCCCATAAAAAGGCTTTAAATGATTTTGGTTTATTTATTTACAATTGGGTAAATATTAAATATTTTTTGTTGTTTAATTATATTTTAATTAATAATTATCAAAAAATTATTTTTAAAGTTACCAAATTCTCATCAAAATAATGAACAAACAAAAAATATTGCAACATTTATAATGTCCGGTTCACATCGTCTTCGAACTGCTACAGCTAATTCTGACATTGATGGAATTATATTAGTTCCATTTAAATTTTATTGGGAGTCACAATTTGTTTTAGACTTTTTTGGGGATTTTGATTGTATTGAGAAAAAATGTGTTAACAATTTAAAAGAAAATGTGGTATTAGTACAGGGAATGGAAAATGGAGATAATTCTCTGTTTTGTAAATTATGCGAGGTAAATTTAAATATTAGATGTTTCACACATTCTAACGTAAACATCAGAGAATCTTCAGCTTCTAAGTTTGCTGCAGATTGGCTTGTAGTAGATTGGGTGTAGTATATGTGTAGCTATTAATATCCTTAAGAGCCCCGGTTATTATATATATTAACTGCCCCGGGTAATTATTATTTCGATCTCTCGCTGGAGGGGGTAATTATTTGGAGAGACATTAAACAGTTTTTCTCTAATAGGAATTTCTCTAATAGGCAGCAGAATTTTAAAAATTCACAATAGAAATGTAATTGTAATAATATTAATTAAAAGCATCCATCTGTTGAAAATATTAAAAGAATTTTTGGGCGAGTTCCAATTATTGGATTGAAATTTGGAGGTTTTGAGTTTGATCTACTTTTTGTGACACCTAAAGCAAATATAATAAATAAATATTTTAAAGAGGAAAATTCGTTAACTGTGACACAAGTGGATGAGGCTATAAAAGAATTAAGCCAAAATATTAGAGATATTGATAGATTATCTCCGAAACGTAGAGGAATGATTTTGGCTCTTTCTGGTAATATAACGATAAAATACTATTTAGAAATAAAATTTCGGGATTAATTTCGTAACATTAAAAGTAATTTTAACTTATGAAAAATAAAAAACTTCTACCTTCAAATGAAAGTAGAAGTTTAGCTACCGATCAAACATTAATCTTGTAACTTAAAATTTAGTTTTCTCCCCACAATCAGGTGTCTGCCGTCAGCTTTTTCTCTTTTAATAGATCCTAAATCTGCATCTAGCATTAACTGGATTTCCTTTACAAAATTTTAATTTAATTTTTAAAATAAAAAATTGATAATTTCCAGGTCTCAGAGCCAATTTGCGTGTAATAGAATTATTAAAAGAAAAGGGGAATTTGTACAAATTCAGATTAATACACATAACTTTAAAGTTATGGGCAAAAGGTAAAACGTTTTTTTAAATTAAAAAAAAATATTTAAAATTTTAAGAAAATTTCATTTACGGCGGACAATTTGGATTTTTATCTAGTTCTTCTCTAACAGTTATTATTTGTAAAATTATTATAGAAAATCCAGCATTTTCTACAATTTTTTTAATTAAATATATATTTGAATATTTAATTAAATGGATAGAATTACCGTTAGATAAAGAAAAAATAATTAATTTAGAAGAAGAAGAAACGGAATCAAATAAAATTAAGGAAAAATCAAATGAGAAACCTATTTGGAAAATTATATCACCTGGATTTCCTGTACAGAATGTTGGATTTAATATAAACAAAAGTACAGAAAAAATAATTGAAAAAGAAATAAAGAATGGTAATTTAAAAAAATTAAAAATTAATTAAAATTTTATAAATTAAAGGAATAGTTAAATTTGATAAATTACAAGAAGAATTTAAGGAATTAATTAAGTATGAAGATGATAAAGAAAAATTTAAAATATTTTCTGAAAAAATATGGAAAAACTGGTTTAATGGTGGAAAGTTTTACGAAAAGGTTTAAATTAAACTATATACACTGCGTCAAAAAGATTCGGACACCTTATTTTTTGGATATATTTTCGATTATCTCTGAACAATTATAGAGAATACTATAAAAATATATAAATGATGACCAAAGATATTTGTATAAACAAAAAATTTAAAAAAATTTTGAAGTATAAATTTTTTATGGAATAATTTCTAAAAAACATGTGCGTCAAAAAGATTCGGACACTTTAAAAAAAGTTTTTTAATGTTCCAAAAGTTATCCAGAAATTCCACAAAAATTTATATAAACATTTCCATCAATATCGAGTTGAAATGCAAAAAGAACGAAGTCTGAAAATGCTTTCTTCATTGAGATCTCAAACCTCAAAATCAACGGAAAACGTGGTTACAGTACTTCATAAAATATTTTAACCCTTTTAGGGGTGGTATAAAAAATTTTTTTCGGGCCCACCAGAAAGCCCACAAAATTTGCTACAAAAAACATTTGGTCCCATCCATGAGAAAAATCTTACCATAGAGGCCCCATCGGTTAAAGGAGCTTTCACTCAAATTACCCTATAAATTGTCATTATTTCTAACTTTTAAATTTAACCGATGGGGTCTCCATAGTAAAATTTTTCTACAGGATGGGACCAAGTGTTTTTTGTAGCAAATTTTATGGGCTTTCTGGTGGGCCTGAAAAAAATTTTTTATACAACCTCTAAGAAGGTCAAAATATTTTTTGAAGTACTGTACCCCCCATTTCCCGTTGATTTTGTGGTTTTCAGATCTCAATGAAGAAAGCATTTTCAGACTTCGTTCTTTTTGTATTCCTACTCGATATCGATGGAAATGTTTATATAAATTTTTGTGGAATTTCTCGATCCCTTATGGAACGTTTAAAAAAATTTTTAAATATTGTCCGATCTTTTTGACGCAGTTGATTTTCAAAAATTATTTCATGAAAAATTTATACTTCAAAATTTTTTTTAATTTTTTGTTTATACATATATCTTAGGTCCTTATTTATATTTTTCTTAAAGTATTTACTATAATTGTTTAGATAATCGAGAAATATACCCAAAAAACTAGGTGTCCGAATCTTTTTGACGCGGAGTGTACTTTCCAAAATTCCATGTTATAATCTTTCTATTAAAATACATCACTAAGACTAAAATAGTTCACAAAGATAACCGCAAAAGGTATAATCTAACCAAAAATATTCCCATACTTGTTTCTTTAAAATTTTCTTAAAAATTACAAACAAACGAACAGAACCTCTAAAACTTTGTTTACCAAAAGGTGACGTTATACACCAAATAAAACATTATAAATGTTATATTTTGAAGGGAAAAGGCTAAACTAACTTAAGAAAAAATAGGGGAGACTACCTAGCAGAGGTCATCGGAAATGACGAGGTGTCGGAAATCGGAATTACAATCGACCTCTGCTATTTAGACTTCAATTAAATATTTTTGAGAAAATAATTAATTTAAATTAAGTATAACAATTATTTGGCCATTATATGTTCACATACAACAAAAAGTATTTATGGCCCTCTATTTTGTGATTATACTGGAACTCGGATTCGAATTGGACTTTTTTCTGAAATTGACGAGCCTAATTCGAATATAGAATATTGTCATGTATCTCCAACAAAATATTTAAATGCACAAAATTGTCCAACAAATATAAGAAAAGATTTAAATTTAGAAGAAGGGCGGCTTTGTACTATTTGGATAGTTGGAATTAAAGGAAATGTTGAAAAGAGTGAATTTGAAACAACATTAGAGAAATTTAGTGAAAATATTTTAAACACATTTAACAACACTATCGATGTTAAAAAGAAGAAGGTTGATCAAGAAACATATTTTTTGAATACAATATTTTTAACAAAAGAAGAATTGATGAAGTGGAAGAATATATAAATTGACATTTAAAGGAAAGAAATTAAAATTTTATTTTTTATTTGAGTTAATTTTTTATATTAGAGTGTTATTTTACCTCAAAATTTTATATTTAAAATTACATTTTTAAAAATATTTTGATATAAAATTAAAAGTTGGGAAAAAATTTTTTAATGAATTTTTAGAATTATTTAATGATTAGGTACTTAATAATTTAATAATCATTTAGTTTTGAATTATTTTATGCATCGAGAGTAAAATAAATCAAGATTCATTTAGCCGCAAAAAATTTTAAAATTAAGAACCATTTCAACTTAAATTTAAATATCTCCAAATGGTTCTTTAAATCTCACAATATTATTAAAATTCACGTGAGACTACATTATCCCTCATAATTTTCTAATTAAAGATTTTTGTACTTTCTATTAAATAACTCTTTGTTGATTAACAAAATATCTTGCATTAAAATTTGCGGTCTAATCATTCATAATAAAACAGGGCTCGGATTCGTACTTTTTTAAAAGTATTGTACTTTTTTATCGACCTCCGTACTTAAGAAATTGAATTTGTACTTTTTTGAAAGTATGTACTTTTTTATCAACATTTTTGAAAAAACGAAGAAATCTGGCTTAAGGACCTCCAAAATTCTCAAAATTTTTGCCTGCGGCGCAAAAAATGGAAGAAATCTGGCTTAAGGACCTCCAAAATTCTCAAAATTTTTGCCTGCGGCGCAAAAAATGGAAGAAATCTGGCTTAAGGACCTCCAAAATTCTCAAAATTTTTGCCTGCGGCGCTGAAAACGGGAGGAAATTAGAGATTTTAATAAAGATAAGGCAGAGGGATATTACTATATAGTGGGATTATACCAAGATACCTCTTAATCCCCAAATCCCACAATGTCTTTTTAATCTCTTCAAATTTGCCTCTCTATATCACCCAAATGACCAGAAAATAACCAGAATTCTGGTTATAACCAGAAAATAACAAGAATTTTTCGCTAAACTCAAAACCCGTACCCGAAATTTTTGGAGTGTACTTTTTATTTGCAAATTTTCTCCCTATGTACTTTTTTTACAAGATTTTGATACTTTTGAGTGGCATTTTGTCGATCCGAGCCCTGTAATAAAACTAAACTTAAAATAAAATTCACTAGTTTTGATAAAAATTTATCAGAAATTTGAATAACATAAAAATATAAATAAATCAAAATTGTAAAAAAAAATTCACAGAATTGAAAATGAAATAGAACATAAGCAACAATTTCACAAAAAATTGTGTTTATAATAAAATTGTTATTGTAACAAATAAACCTTCGATTCTGATGCAAATCATCTAAAATTTATGATAATTTAAAATGAATGATTTCTCCTCCGACTAATAAATTAAAAGCCTTAATCAAAATAGGTATATCTACAAGCTTATTTTTTTATAAAAAATATTTCTAATGGAGTATCTTTCCATTCAAAATAGTTTTGAAATGTATGTATATACGGTATATGCTCTATTAATCACCCTCTCCCGAATAATTACCCCCGCGCTATTAATTACCCCCTGTAACCAGAGGTTGAAACAATAATTACCAAGGGTAATTATTAGAGCATATACGTTATTTGTTTTATAGATATGAGTTTGTAAAATGATAATTTTAAAAAGACAAAAATGCCAAAAACGATAAAAAGTATTCTATACACTTTAAATAAAATTTTAAACTGATTAAATCTAACCATTAAGCATGTCCAAAAATGACAGATTCCAACAAACGATGAGTTAAATCTGCATGAGATTGTTTCAAATTTGCCCACTCAGCTGTAGTTAAAATATCTCTATTTTGAGAGATACATTTCGCAACAGCCTGAAAGAAAAATAGAAACATTTTCAAACCCAAACAACCTTCTCCAAAATTGAAGAACCATAAAGATGGACAATTTGACAAATTCGTGAGATATCACAAACTCCTTTAAAATTTTGAAATTAAATTTTAAAAAAATTTTTTATTTACCAATACAAGCAGCAATGAAATTTTCACATTTTTCTTTAAGTGGAGAAATTTCATATTTATGAGCAACAGTAAAGAGCTCCTCCGCGAAGCCCTCCAAAATGTCTTAAAAAATTAAATTATACGTTTACAAATGGATTATTATGGCAATTATTTTAGTAAAAAATCAATTATTTTAGTAAAAAGTAAAACCATCAGAAACAATTCCAGTATAACAATATTCCAACATTGCTTGGAAACATTCCGACGAACAATCAGTAATTTTGACTATCCCCTATAATAATATAAAGGTTTTAGGTAATTTTAAAAGTTTTTATATTAAATAGTTTGGATTAGTTCTTTTTTGTTAAATTTAATTTTAATTTCCTAATCTCCATATAAGGACCAAAAGCTGTCAATTAAAAATAGGTAAACCACTTATTTTTTAATAATAAAAATATTATCTTAAATTTTCAGAGAATTTACATTATTAATAGCTTGATAAGATCTTTTACGCGTTTTGCGTACATTTTGTCCTTCACTGAATCCACTCGTGTACAACATTCGTCGAAAAACTTCACTATTTTGAGCTAATACGCTTCGATGTGCATTAATCGACACCTCACCAATCTGTAATAAAATAAACTTAAACGATGAATTTATTGTAAACATTGTTCCTCGAAAAACCCAAGATACTCAGATAAAATTGATAAAGGATCAGTTTAAGTATAACGTTAAAATATGGGAAAATATATGGCAATTATAGTGGATCATAAAAGATAATTTCACATCTCCATATACATATTTATAGCAAATACTTTTGTCACCCAAGACATAAACCAAGTTTCCAATGAATAATTCTAATAAAATTACCTCAATAACACAATCCATAAATTCCATATTCTGCCACATATTTTGAAGCAAAGCTTTAGAGTAAAGTGCAGATTCATCCTTTTTAATATATTCGAGGATGAGGTCTTCCAAAGTAAACTCAACATCACATCCAAGTGTAATAGAACCTAATTAAAAAAAACAAAATTACACCAAATTAACGAAAAAATTACCGTCAATTTGGAGCAAACTTTGCATATTAACATTGTATCTGCTAGTTTGGGTCCAATATTTAAAGTCATGTGAGGCACTAATTAAGAAGTATTATGTGAATAAGTATCAATTTTCATTAGTAAATTTTTCAGTTACCGTCCAATATCCATGCGAATACCATTATTTTGAATTGCATAAAAATAATATTTAGCTTTAACACAATCATTGCCTTTAAGTCCCATTTGACGGAGCGAAACATTAACGCCTAAAGATGAAAAATAAATTTATATTTAAAAATTCTAGACTTACTTCCATAAATTCCTCCTTGATATCCATTCAAATAAATACAAATTTCCCACGAGACTGTAGGATAAGCGTTGTTCTTAAAAGGCCCACCTTAATCAAATTTATTAACTTGACTGATTAATTTTTCTGCGAGGTTTTATTAATATTTTTTTCAATTAAGCATTTAAAATAATTAAGGAGCTAAAATTTTAAAGTAAAAGCAACAAAATTATGAAAGAAACGTTCGAAAAATCAGAACATTGGAAAAGTCTCGCAGTACAAAATTTTGTGAAATAACTTAACTCCAAAAAACTTACTGCAAATATAATAATCATTTCCCAAAGGTTTTGCAATTGTATTGATATTTCTAACATTCCAAACTTTTGAAGATTTAATCAGCTAAATCATATATTTTAATAAATTAATTAATACATTTCCATTAAAATACCTCTTTAGTGTTAATAGACATTTTTTGTTTCAGAAAGTTTATAGATCAGAATAATTAACAAATGAAAAATTTTTTAAATTCTAAATTTAAGATTTTAAATAAACATTAAAATACAAGAATAGGGAACGGCTTTTTAGAACGGAGGTAATTCTTTCTTTAATTACATAGTATAATGAAGCATTCGACAGAATTTCAAAAAATCACGTTTTATCAGGAAATTGTAAAAACCTATGAAAAATCAGTCAAAGCCTAATATACATAAAATTGAGATAATAAATGAAAATAAACTTATAAAACTAAACTTCATTAAATAAATTTATTAAGTATGTTTATAAAAAATAATTTTTTGTTAAAAATACTGAAGGATGATTGCATTTTTTTAATATTATTTATTTGAATAAAATTTTACGGATAAACGAATTTTACAATTTAATGGGTGTGGCAAGTTTATTCGAAAATACCAAAATTAAAAGAAAAGAGTTCCTCTTTTGTTTAATAAATTTTATAAATGTTTACATCCAAATATAAACAAAAAATGTAAATATTTATTTTAAATCAGGGCTCGGATCGACAAAATACCACTCAAAAGTATCAAAATCTTGTAAAAAAAGTACATAGGGAGAAAATTTGCTAATAAAAAGTACGCTCCAAAAATTTCGGGCACGGGTTTCGAGTTTAGCGAAAATTCTTGTTATTTTCTGGTTATTTGGGTGATATAGAGAGAGGCAAATTTGAAGAGATTAAAAAGACATTGTGGGATTTGGGGACTAAGAGGGATATCTTGGTATAATTCCACTATATACTAATATCCCTCCGCCTTATCTTTATTAAAATCTCCAATTTCCTCCCGTTTTCAGCGCCGCAGGCAAAAATTTTGTGAATTTACGAGACCAAGAAGCCAGATTTCTTCCATTTTTTGCGCCGCAGGCGAAAATTTTGAGAATTTTGGAGGTCCTTAAGCCAGATTTCTTCCATTTTTTGCGCCGCAGGCGAAAATTTTGAGAATTTTGGAGGTCCTTAAGCCAGATTTCTTCGTTTTTTCAAAAATGTTGATAAAAAAGTACATACTTTCAAAAAAGTACAAATTCAATTTCTTAAGTACGGAGGTCGATAAAAAAGTACAATACTTTTAAAAAAGTACGAATCCGAGCCCTGTTTTAAATTTTAATGGAAATTATTACCAAAGAGAGAAGCCATACAATTTATTTTTTATTATACAGATTTTTTTCATTTTTGTTTTTGTTCAAAATAAAATATTTATTATAAACTCCGCCCTTTTTATTCAAACTTTTCTTTTCATTTTATTAAATTTTTTTGTACTACATTAGAAAATTATTAAATTCATTTAAAAAAATTTCGAATTTTATAAAATTTTTCAATTTTTTTATTGTTTGAAAGTAATATTCTCGTTATTCTTTAATTAAATTAATTTTTTTATTTGCACTATTTTATTTTTTAATTGCTACCACATTCTTTTCTACATGCTTATTCTAATTAGGGTGGTACTCGAAGGGGTTATTAATTATATGTATTAATACTCTTTATTGTAGCGAGTTTTTATGAGGCATTGAATATTAGAACCCCTTCCTACTTAGAATAGCAGTTGTTTTTAATTATTGTCTTGATTTTATTAAAAACTTATATTTCTTAGTGCAAATTAGATTCTAAATTTAAATTAAATTATTGTTAAAAATGGTTAATTTGGGAAGCAACAGTGGTGAGTCTGACAGCGATTTCAGCTATAAAGAACAGCAAAATGAACAGGTAAAATAAATATAAATGTATATTTTTTACTAATATAAGTATTAAGTTTAATTATTTTATTAAAATTTCCTATATATAATTAAAATTTAAATAATAAAATTAAATAAATTTTTAAATAAATTTGTGTGATAAAATGAAATTTAAATTTAAAAAAGATTAAAAATTAATAAAAAATCAAAATACGAAATATTAAATTTAACAGTTTAAATATTTAGTCTAATAATCAACAAAATATTTCAACTCAAATTTTAATTAAACGAATTGCCGTACTTAATCAAACTACAATTAATCTTACAAAACAAGTAGCAGAACTAAAAGAGGAGAATATTGAGGTTAGACGAAAACATGATGATCTTATGAATGAAAACAAAAAATTCAAGGAAGGTTGGAATATATTTAATTTTAGACTTAAGATTAGTAGAGCTGTCCAAGACCGAAAATTTTTCAAGGCCAAGACTTGACCCCAAGACTCAAACCAAACATTATCGAGACTCAAGACACCATAAATATCTAAGAAATTTCGAATTTTATTTTGATAAAAGAAAATCAGAGGTATTGGGATAGGGTAAATATTGGGATAGGGTAATATCTATAATATTTCTTTAGTTAAAGAAAATGTCAATCGAAAGAAGCGTAATCGCAAAATTATCAAGGGCGCTGGACTTGGCGGTATTGGCGGTGCCGCTGCTGCTGGCGCGGTTGCTGGTGCCTTTGGAGGTCCCATTGGTATGGCGATTGGGGCAGGAGTGGGTGCTGTTGTTGGTGCAGTTTCGGGCGGTATTCTTGGTTCTTGTTTTGGATAAATATTCTATTTTTTAAAATTTAAATTTCAAAATAATGATATACTATGTATGTTTTTCAACAATTTTATAAAGTTTTCATTCAATCCCACAAATTCATAAATAATTTCAAGCATTTTATCCCCCAACATCCAATTTAGCAGCAAAATACTTATTTGATTATCAGTGTCTGTTTCCAATCCGAAATAAAATTGTTGATAATATTCTTTGAAACTTTCATTATATTAATGCTTTTTTACACTTATTAAATTTTTTCACGATTTGTTGAATAAAAATTAAAACAAATAGGAATCTTTGTTCTCCGTAAATATGATTAATTATTCTATTATATAGTATTTCTTAATTTTTTTTTGAAATTAATTTATTGTTCTTAGAAAACATTTTCAAATCTCTACTGTTCTCAAGATATGAATGGCAATTTGGATTTTAATGAAGGTATATAATAAATAGCTAAAAATTATTTTACTTCTAAAGATGGTATCCGAACCGAAATTTTTCCATTACCAATTAATTTTCGTTCTATATTGGGTATAAACAAAAATCCTATACTTTATGTTTTAAAATATTATGGCGAATTTACGAGTTTCTATATTTTATAGATTTTCAATATTATATTCAATAGACTAGTCAAATTTAATATCACATTAATTAATTTCAATTTTTAGATACTGGAGATGAAAAAATCCTTAAAAATCTGATTACAACAGTTAATGAACTTATTGATATAAATAGACAAGTAGTAAACGAAATTGAGGAAGTAAAGGAAATTAAAGAACAACAAAATGAAATTGTGACAATTTTGGAAGAGGATAATAGACGAAATACTCGACTTTCAAAAAATTTTTTAAACAAAAAAAGATTTTTTTTCTCGAAAGAATTTACTGGAGGTTGTCTTGTTGGAGCTCTATTAGGAGTTGCTGCATGTTTAGGTGCTCTAAACTTTCCTATAGTTGGAATTGGTCTGGGTGGAGGTACTTTGGCTGTTGGACTTGTTGGATATTTCATATTCAAATAAATTTTATGGAAATCATTTTGATTAAAAACAAAAGAATCCCAAAGGGAAAATGATTAAAAAATATTTTTATTAACAAATTTCTTGATTTTAAAGAAATACATTTTATAATAAAATTTTTTAAATCTTCATTTGAATATTGGATACAATAAAGATTATTTTTAATTGTATAAAATATTTTCCTATGTAACATTTGTAGTTCTTCAGTAGCAACATAACGTAAAATTTAAATCACAATTCTAAAAATTTTTTTAAATAAAAACCTTTATAATTCTAGAGAATATATCAGGGCTTCGATCACGAATTTTTAAAAATCCACAATTTTGATCCAGCATTATATATCTTCTTTTTTCACCGCAGACGAAATTTTTTTGAATCTAGGATATCCTTAAGCCGAAAATCTTCCATTTTCAGCGCTGCAGGTTAAAAATTTGAGTTTAGGTCTTAGCAGAGGTATAATGATATTTCATAATAAAAACTACAAGAAAACATAAAAAATCCTCATAATCTTCAAAAGACCACAAAAATCCGCATTTTTGAAAATCCTCATCGACCTATCAAAAATCCACAAAATGAGGAAAAATCCGCAGATATCGAAGCCCTGGAATATATGTATGTATTTAATTAGAAAATAACCGAATTTCAATGCTATTTCCATTAGACAAAAAGCTAGATCCCTATTTTTAGTTTTAAATTCTTTCCATTCATTGCTGTCTAAAAAGTTTTTGCGATTGGCTGCAATAAATTTAATACAAGCCTTTTTAAATTTTTGAATTAAAAATTAATTTAGAGATTATTTAAAATAAAGTTCGTTACATAATTATAAGTAGAGTTGGGCGGGATCGGGATCCCGGTCGGGATCGGGCGGGATTATCCCGGTTTTTTTGAATCCCGATCCCGATTTTTCTGATCCCGAACCCGAAAGACAAATCCCGATCCCGGTTTTGGCCGATCCCGATCCCGAGCCGGGATCGGAACCGGGATTAGCAATCGGATCCCGATGAAATCGGGATTTTATAAATTAATAAAAATATAAATTAATGAGCTGAAAAGAAAGCAATTTGGCTTCTACGCCATCCAAAATTTTCAAAATTTTCGCCTGCGGCGCTAAAAATGAAGATTTTGGCTTGAGAATCTTCGAAATTTTTCAAAATTTTTGCCTCCGGCGGTGAATAAGAAGAGACTCATTATAAAACTATCGACGGAATGGATTTGAACGGATATAATGGATATCCTAGATGTCCATCTAGATCCCAATATCTCATTAATCAACGATATCCCTCTTAATCCATCAGAATCACCTTATCGTTAATACTTTATCCCTCCTCCTTAATCCCTGATACGCCAATACAAATGCGCGCTGGGACTTAAAATCAATATTTCAGCACAGCAGATGAAAATTATGGAATTATATTGAGGTATATGCAATGTAAATAAAAATTTAAATTTTGAAAATTTTTTTAAACTAAATCCCGATCCCGATTTTTCAATCCCGATCCCGAGTCGGGATCGGGACCGGGATCGGGATCATTATTCCGAATCCCGATCCCGATTTCGTCCAACCCCGATCCCGCAGTCGGGATCGGGACCGGGATCGGGATCATCATTCCAAAATCCCGATCCCGATTTTACGTCGGGATCCCGATCCCGCCCAACTCTAATTATAAGAGCAAGCATTTTTTCGGTGTTACTCATAGTTCCAGTGTACCGATTGAGCCCTAATTTTTTCTATTAGTAAATATCCTATAAATATTAGGATTTTGAGAGTTTCAAAAATTTTCAATCAAATTTAAATTTTTTATGTACTTTACCCCCGTTTCCCGTTCATTTAGGGATTATCTCAATGAAGAAAGCATTTACAAACTTCGTTCTTTTTGCTTTTCTATTCGATATTGATCGAAATGTTTATATAAATTTTTGGTGAATTTTTGGAACATATATAGCCTAGAAAATAAGGATTGAAATCTTGCTCTTATAATTATGTAACGGACTTTATACATATATGTATAAACCATCACCTTCGTTATATTTTTAAGACCATATATTTGTGAGTAACTACAACGCTTGACAAAGTTTTTTTGGTCTTATAAAATAAAAATTATGTAATTTATGAACTGCCGTATTCTCTAATAGTAGAGGGTGGCATTCAAATGAAAGGTGACATTGTATTTTTTGATGGGTAAATTTTAAATTTTGAAAAATTTTTAGCTTACAAAGCAAATTCAATTGCCTCAGGCTCAAGTTTTATTTAGAGATAGGAAAAATGATTAAACCGAATTTAAGTTGAATTCAAAGCAAATATTCGAGTACGAAATATATTTGCCTTAGAATAATTTTAAATGTTCAACAAATTTGAGGGATTAAGGAGGATTTTCAGAGATTAAGTGGTATTATATCCCCGGTTCCAATCAAATTAATTTATTAATTCTCTCAAACTTTTCGTCGAGGTTACTAATTTATTTTTAGTTTATTTTACTCAAACAAATAATAGACGAGTATTAATTCAAGTTTATTTTCAACAAATAAATAAGTTTCGTTTAATTTAGTTTAAAAGGTAAAAGGTATTGAGTACAAGTATTTAAGGTGAAAGTCAGTTGATTTTGAGTGGATATTTATATGAATATATGAGGGCGGGATATGAGAGAGCATAACATGTAAGTTTGGTTTATGGGTCATAAATAAGTTTGATAAGGAAAGTTGAATGTTTGACTTAAAAGGAAAATATATTTAAATGATGTTGAGAGGGAATGTTTTAAATATAAAAAGTTTAGATAAAAAGGTTGGAGCGGAATTTTTTTGAATATAAGGAAAAAGGGCATGTTGTAAAAGATGTTTAAGAAAAACAATTTTAAATTAAGGAGAAATAACATTTAAAAATTGATAACAAAAATTTAAACAAATTAGGGACTCAACACTCCTTTCCCCTTTAGAAGAATTGATGGCATATTCTCCATTTGTTGTTTCCATTATTCTTTTTTTTACTGGTTTTATTGAAGACGGTTATCAGCCAATTAATGGCCTCTCTAGTGATTGAGATGTAAGAGGTCAATCGTGCATACTTTCTTATTTTCTCTCCTATTACAGGGTGTTTTATTTTTAGTTATTATCTCCAATTTAGGGGTTCATTTCTTTGCTTTTCCGCAATAATGAGCGGGCATATATTTTTTAACCGTCTTAAATATTTATATGAATTTGTTGTTTGGGTTTTTTTGGATCTCTCCTATATGGAGGTGGTATTTGTGATGAAAGCATGAGAAGCTAAACATTTAACTTTTTGAATTCTTCTTTTCATTCTGGGGCTTTTGTTGTTTTGGTGTTGATCTCTTTTTGGTTAACATCCATAATTTCTTCATTCGCCATTTAAATAATTACAATTACAAAAAAAAAATTAAAAAGTGAATTGGGGGAAAAAATATTGAGGGATTTAAAAACTAGAAAGGATAACAAAAGGAAAATTTAATATTTGATGAGTATTGATTAAATGAAAAAATATATATATATTTTAAGAAATCTCATCTTAAGAATCTCAGTCTTTTTCGACTGGGCTGTTACTTCGTGATCTCAACTTATAGTTCCCGCGAGAACGCAGTTGGTCAATATGAGCGATTTTAAATGCTCCACTTTCCATTTCCACTTTGTATATATACTCCCCTCTTTCCTCCAGAATAACGCCTGGGGACCATTTTTTATGGCTTGAATGGTCACGTGCCCATACTTTATCTCCTATCGAGAATTCTTTTATTCTGCGGGTGTTTCTTTCTTTTACTTCTCCGCCTTCTAGTTTCAAATTTTCTTTTGGTATATAGCGAAGTATGTCTATTTTTGATCTAATTTGTCTCCCTAAGAACAAACTTGAAGGGGATTCTCCATCTAATTTTGGGTGTGGGCTTGCTCTATATTCATTTAAAAAATCAGCGATAACCATATGAAGGTTATTATTTTCAATTACTTTCAAAATGCTACTTTTGAAGGTTCTAACGAAGCGCTCGCACAGTCCATTACTCTGCGGATGGTAAGGGGGTGACTTAATATGGTTTACTCCATTTGTTCTCAAAAATGTTTCAAATTCCAGTGAAATGAATTGCGGTCCATTATCACTCACCAAAACTGATGGTGGACCGAACATTGAGAAAATCTCGCGAAGTGCGGTTATAATATAGGCTGAAGTTGTACTTTTCATTTGGACAACAAAAGGATACCGTGAGTAAGCGTCAACTATTAATAGAAATGTCTTGCCAAAAACAGGTCCAGCTAAGTCAATGTGTACCCTCTCAAATGCTAATTTTGCTTCTGGCCAGTTATTTTGACTAGCCGTTTGAGGTTCATTTGGTCTGTTAATCTGACATTTTTCGCACTCAGCTATAAAATTTTCTATGTCTTCGTTTATAGCCGGCCACCATACTATATTTCTGGCTTTAGCTTTACTCCTAACTATTCCAAAATGTGAAGAATGTATTAATTTTAGAACTCCATTTCTCAGTTTCACTGGTATTAAAATTTGATTATTCGGCTTTTTCAATATTAGTTTTCCATTAATAAATAACTTGTCTCTTATTTGAAAATAAGGTTTTATTTTCTCTGGATATGTATCTTGCCAATTTTCTCTAATAGCTTTAAAAACAATCTCCAAAATTGGGTCAGACTGTATTGTCTCTTCTAAGGTTTTTCTATTTATACTCTCTACAGAAATTTGCATTAAATAAGGAATTTCTTCCCTCGGATATTTACAAACAATTTCCTCCCATTTTGCTGGGGCTCTTGAAAGGGCATCAGCAACTTTATTTGCGGTCCCCTCTACATATACAATATCCGGCTGTATTTCTTGCATTGCCATTAGCCATCTATTCAATTTAGTATTTGTACTAGCTTTTGAAAAAAGAAATATGAGTGGTCTATGATCCGTATGAATGGTTAATTTCGCTCCATAAATAATGGGTTTAAAATATGTAATTGAATGGTAAATCGCAGCAAGCTCACCGTGAGTTGCTGGCAATTTTTCTTCAGACTTATTTAAAGTTCTGGACCAGAATCCTACTGCGTGTAAGTTTTCTCCCTCTACGTTTTGCATCAATGCTGCTGCGTAGGCCACTGTTGAAGCATCACAAAACAAATGAAAAGGTAAATCATAATTTGGGGGTCGTAAACAAGGACTTTTTACTAAATTCTGCTTTAATATATTAAATGCGTTTTCTTCCTTTTCTCCCCATTCAAATTTCTTTTCATTACCTCTCGTTAAGTTATTTAACGGCCATGCAATTGAAGCAAAGTTCGAAATAAATTTTCTAAAAAAGGACGTTAATCCTAGAAATCTCTTCACCTCCTTCGTGTTAGAAGGGATAGGAAAATTTGTTATTGCTTCACAATTTGTTAATGAAGGTTTATACCCGTCTTTATTCAGTTCATGGCCTAAGTATATACAATTATTTTCCAAAAATCTACATTTATCAGCTTTTAATTTCAAGCCTGCTTTCTCTAAGCGATTAAAAACATTTGTCAATGTCTCTATATGTGACTCAAAATCCTCTGAATGGACGAGTATATCATCAATATAGGCAGTAACATTTTCCATATCTTTTAATATTTTATCCATAACTCGTTGGAAAATACTAGGAGCATTTTTTAATCCAAACGGTAAGCGCGTCATTTCATAAAGTCCCCATTCTGTGATTATACCACATTTTTGAGCTGTTTTTCTTTCGAGCGGAATCTGCCAAAAGCCCGAAGCCAGATCAAGTGTAGTGTAAAAAGATTTTCCAGCTACGCGGTGTATTACTTGCTCCATTCTAGGAATGGGATAGGGATCGGAAATCGTAATTTTATTTAATGGTCGAAAATCGACACAAGGGCGAAGTTTACCGTCACTTTTCTCCACGAGAACTAGATTACTAGCCCAGGGGGTATTAGATTCTTTAATTACCCCCGATTTCAACATATTATTTATATGTATTTTTAATTCATCTCGGTATTTCTCCGGCGTCCTATAAGGTTTAGCCTGAATCGGGGTTTCGGATGTAGTTATTATGGGAGGTGCTTCAATTTTACACTTCCCTAAATCATAATCATTTCTTGCAAAGATTTTGCAGTATTTATTCAAACAAATTTTTAACTTTTCTTTTTCAGATCTATTAATCTTTATATTAGCTATTAATTTTGTTATTTGGTCCAATTCTCCACAATAAATTGATTTATTTTCCAACGGAATTTTTGTTAGCTCCCAGTTTGCAAAATTCAACATAAGGGGTAAGCAATTCAATGTTTCTCTACCAATAATGGCGCTATATGATTGATTCTGTGTTACTGTATCTTTGATAATTACAAAATTTGTTTTAATTTTGCAATCAGCTACTTCCAATTCGACAGTAGCCTGACCTAAGGTCGGTACTAGTTTATTGCCAATTCCGTATACTACTGGAAAATTTGCAGCAAAAATGTCTTTTAACCCTATTTTCTTCGCATTTTCATTACTAATAATTGATACATGGGCTCCAGTGTCTAATAAACATAAAGTTTTTATTCCGTTGATTTTAGCCATTATTCTCGAATTTTTATCACACTGGGTATTTTTTACAACACAAATTTCAATTTTATTTTGTTTATTTTTATCTCCTCTTCCGATTTTATTCAGAGAGGGCCATCGCTTAGAAAGTGGTATGTTATTTTCAACCAACTCATTTTCATTTGATTTGCTTTTGTTTTCATTTTCTCTTGAACGTTTCATTCTTTTATTTTTTCTTCTATAGCTCTTTATTCTATTATATACGGTACTTTGTTCATATCCCGCCCCCCACCCCTATCTGAGTCTCAGATTAATTTTCCTTCTTTGCTGTCAATCATTTATTTTCCTCCTTTTTTAATGCCCATCATTTTTTCCCTCAAATATAGGACACCCATAATGGCGCAGTCATAATGGGTCAAACCCATAACTAGCTGGAATAATTTTGACTCTTGTCCTTTTTGTTATCAATCTCTTTAGCTCGATGAGAGGAATCGTTTAATATTAATTTTGTTAAGGTTCGAAAATCTTGAAGCAAGTTATGGCTTTGCGCCGTTATGGCCGAGCGCCCTTTTGTGTTTTGAGGGAAGAAAATGATGGGCATTAAAAAGGAGGAAAATAAATGATTGACAGCAAGGATGGAAAATTAATCTGAGACTCAAATAGGGGTGGGGGGCGGGATATGAACAAAGTACCTTATATACTGCTTCTCCAATATTTAAATAATTAATTGGGCCTGCTAAGATTGAGGGCAAGACAAATTGTATTAAAAACTGGAATGTAACAAAACAACAACAAACAAAAATCCATAATTGGTTTGCCGTTAAGATTCCTCCTCGCAAAAACGAAAACAACCCATTTGAAACTATATTTCCCGCTATCATCTCCTTTTTTATGTTTGAGTTCGTCCAGATTGAATTGGGGTTTGACAATCTAGCAATTTCATGAGTGATTGCGGCAGTTTCTAGGGTCTCAGAAAAGTGCTCTGGAGAATATAATTCAGTTAAATTTGCTAAAATTTTATTCCTAAATATAGCTATACTCATTTCGGGAATATCTAATTTTCCATGTCTCGCTATTGAGCGGATTCCTTCTTCGGAAATTTCTTTTTGGTCACCCGTCATTTGGTCGAATTGATAAGTCCTATCTTCTTCTGTTAAATACATATATCTTACAGACTCACACTCAACTTCTTTGGAATGTGGATAAATTATTTTTGTATTTGTATCAATAAAACCATGTTTAAGGTCTCCGTGTAACATAAATGAAACGGGTAAGCGATCAAAACACAAGCCGTTTTTCCAGTTAAAATGTAATTGTTTTTCATCAATTAAATAGCACGGTCTTATCTCAAGGACTCTTTCGGTTACTAATCGGGCTGTAATATGCTCTATTTTTAAGAAATGTCTCGCCAATAAAGTTGGATTTGCGGCGGCTAATGTCATAATTTGGTCTGCTAATTCTTGTAAATCATTACAGACCTGCCTAACAGAATCTGCAAATATTCTTTTTGCAGTTTTTGTAAAAGAAGCACTCAAAGCTGTTATTTGTGAGGCTAACTGCCAGCTATAGACAAGACTTGTATTTGCTTCATTTACCTCCCTTTTTACTTTAGAAGGGGTTTTAGATTCAAAAAAATCTTTTATTTTTACTAATTCATTAAATTCTTTTGCTGGGATTGCAAAGCCTTGGTCTGTTAAAATTAATTCATTTTTGTCACAATCGATTATTTTAGTTGCATTTTCAAAAGAGAAAGCAAATTCATTTGACTCGGATAACCATACTCCGGAAGCGATTTCTCCTGGCCATCGATCAATAAATATATACGAACATTTATGCGTCCTTTCTGGACTCCATATCAGGCTACCATGTTCACATTTACAGGTCCCAGAATGATATAAACATCCCGGGCATGAACCTACAGGAGTATTAATTCCCTCCATCCCATGATGGGTAAAAACCACAGTTTCGTAAATGTAACAGTTTTCTGTCTCTTTTGTATCCCAAGGGATACCTAAAGGCCAAACTTTCCAATCCATATCGGAATTATTTTCAGTTCCTCTTAAAGTTCCATTTTTATGTTTAAGCTTTCCGGCTCTTGATTGATTTAAATCTCGCATTCTTCTACATTCCGAAATCGGTACGTTTAAATTTAAGGAGTCATATTCCTGTATATAGCCTCCAAAGAAACCTCTGCTTTTAGACACAATAGTTTTTACACATTTACAGACATAAGCAGGAGTTTTGTATTGCAATGTATTCGCTCTATAGATTGAAAGATCCATAGGAATTGGTGCTTCTCCAATGTTAAATCTAGGGCATATCGGATCGTTTGGTAATCTCCATATTGAAATGGGTGCGTCCTTTAAGCAAATCATAGGAGAACTGAAAGCTGATCCGAAGAAGCAAAATATTGCTAGAATTACAAGCATGTATGGACTCACAGTCCCTATCCTAGGACTTCGGTTTCTCTCAAAACGCACTCTGCGATTTGGCGAACGATGGTTGTAATTATTATTTCTAGTTCTGTTTTCTCTCTCCCTACTTCTTGAGCTACTGTAATTTTCATAATTTCTATTCCTATTGTACCCGCGATCATTTCTTTGATAATTTTCTCTTCTATTTTGCCTATTTTCTTGATAATTTCGGTAATCAGGTCTACGGGATTGGCTATTATTTACGTAACGATTCTCACTTCTCCCAAAATTTTGAGGCTGGAAATTTCTCGAATTATATTCGGATTTGCGCGAATAACAATCTTTAGCAAAATGACCTGGTTTTCCACAATAATAACACTTTTTAGTCTCTTTTCTATCAGTTTTATTCTGTAGTGACAAAGCTTCGACTTTATCAGCCAGATTCGCAACCGAAATATTATTGTTATTATTCACCTTTCTCGCTGAGAGAAGTAATTCATAATGCTGCGCTATTTCGTAAGCGTTAGCATAATCTTCCGGCCTCTGAGCTTTTACTTCAAATTGAAGCTCAGGAACAAGTCTATCCAGAAATTCATCCAATAAGCGCCTTTTAATCGTATCTTCATTCTCTCCTGAGAGGGCTGTGCGAACTGTTTCAGAAAGTCGGTTCGCAAATTCAAAGACAGTTTCTCCTGGCGCATGTCTACAATTTGATAGTAATTGCCGTGCAATTACTTTAGTGTTCCCATTCTCGTATTTTCCTTTCAAGTAAGCAATAGCCTCCGCTAACGTCGTAGGTGCGGGATTGATATTGTCGAATGCTACTCTCGCTTGACCGGACAGACAAAAACGCAAACGGGCCAATTTTTGCACTTCGGTAGGCTCGGTCATTAACGAAAGTATATCCTTAAATTTCTCCACCCATTTTGTAAAAGATACGGTGGGATTTCCGTCAAAATTTCCAACAAATGCTCCATTACCTAAGAATGGGTCCATAACAGAAATTTCTTGATTATCCTCCTCATTTTCCAATTCATTGCCTCGTATAGTTTCATCAGTCTCATTAATTGAGCTATCCGACTCATTAATGGATTCGTTTTCTAATTCATTAAAATCTTCCAATACTTTATTTTGTGGTAATTTTCCCATTTTTTCTTCAAACTTTAATTTAAATTCATTTAAATTATTTCTTAATTTCGTGACAGAACTTTTTGTTCCTGTCAGACTGTCTTTACTTTTCTTCATATTTTCTTCAATTAGATCGAGTCTTCCTTCAACTTGCCGAAAGCTTTTCGCCACCGTTTTTTCGAAGGAGCGTAATTGAGTAAGTAAAGTTTCACAAGTTTTATTCTCCTCAGGTGAAAAAAGATGAGGGGCAAAGTCTGAACCAGACATTATTATTAGTATTTTAATCTAAATCTAAAATTTCTTGCACACAGCAGATTATTAGCACACAGCTTTTTTTTTAATGCACACAGCCGTCTATCCGAAGAGACGAGATAAATCAGAATTTCACACAGAAATTCAATGCACACAGCGAGTCTCACACAGAGATCTCAAAAAGCACACAGCGAGTTTTCACACAGAAAACCCAATAGATGCACACAGCAGGATTTCACACAGAAATCCTAAAAATATTTTTCTTTAAAGCACACAGCCAAGATATTTCACACAGAAATATCCTTTTTAATTTACTTTTAGTTTTTAGATCTCCGTTTATCGCAACGGGTCGTGGCACCAGTATTATATCCCCGGTTCCAATCAAATTAATTTATTAATTCTCTCAAACTTTTCGTCGAGGTTACTAATTTATTTTTAGTTTATTTTACTCAAACAAATAATAGACGAGTATTAATTCAAGTTTATTTTCAACAAATAAATAAGTTTCGTTTAATTTAGTTTAAAAGGTAAAAGGTATTGAGTACAAGTATTTAAGGTGAAAGTCAGTTGATTTTGAGTGGATATTTATATGAATATATGAGGGCGGGATATGAGAGAGCATAACATGTAAGTTTGGTTTATGGGTCATAAATAAGTTTGATAAGGAAAGTTGAATGTTTGACTTAAAAGGAAAATATATTTAAATGATGTTGAGAGGGAATGTTTTAAATATAAAAAGTTTAGATAAAAAGGTTGGAGCGGAATTTTTTTGAATATAAGGAAAAAGGGCATGTTGTAAAAGATGTTTAAGAAAAACAATTTTAAATTAAGGAGAAATAACATTTAAAAATTGATAACAAAAATTTAAACAAATTAGGGACTCAACAAGTGGGATATCGGTTGATTTTGAGATATTAATGAGCTGGTTAGGAGCGATTAGGGGGATATCGATATATAAGAAAGGGAGATTCAGCGATTAAGAGGATGTGTTGGAGATATTAAAGGAGTCTAGATGATTAAGAATGTTAAACTACATATGTTTGTTGTGATATCAAGTGATTTGGAGGGAATAAGAAAATTTGGGGAGAAAAATCTCAACAAAAAAATCTCAGCACTTTTTCGAATCTCAACAACCATTCGTCCATATAATTAAAATTCTCCACCGGTTAATCTTACTCCCCTTACTTACCTCGAATTATCGATATCCCTCTCAATTCCTTATAAGCAACGATATCTCTCAAAATCTTTATCCTTTATATTCTTTTTTCCTCTGAATCCACTTAGATATATCCTTATTAATCCCTACAAATCACCCGATACCACTCTGAATTCCTTCTAATTCGGTTGGCAAAAATATCGGGTACGGGTTTCGGGCGGCAACCCTGCTTAATACCTATGTTGATAACTAACTTCTAAAATTATAAAGTTTTAAACGGCTAAGCATAAGATTTCCACGTTAAAAACCTATACTTTAAGGGGCATCATGTAAATAAATGTGAGTATTTTATATATTATTTTATTAATTTTACTAATATTTGAAGCCATAATAATTTCACATTTATTCATTAATGAATCTACACAATATTTGTGTGCAAGTGCATATATATCATCAACATTATTTTCCAGTACATTACCTTAATTTTAATTATTATAATGTCGCCAAAAGAAAATAAACTTGAATTAATTTTCCCAAGATAAAAATATTCAATCATAGCTTTAAAACATTCAGGGGAAGAATCAACAATTTCGAGTTCACCCTTAAATATTTGAAAATTTTAAGGTAATATTTTGAATAGGAATAGTAATCGGAAAGAGGCGATCTCTTTTTATTAATCAGCCTGAAATTTTTGACTTTCATTCATACAATGGTTTAGGTAGTTTTCGAGAGAAATTTTATAAAAAGCCAATCGTTTCTTATTATATCCGCATAATCATATCTAAGGAACGAGTTTAAACGAGATTTAACTCTTGATTAATTAATTTAATTAAAAAATTAACGCGTAAGGTCAGCTGAACTCCGGTCAGCGAGGCTGAACTCCGGAAAACTTTAATTAAAATACATTTCTTGCTTCAATCATATTCTGTTCAAACATTGTTAAAAATACACTGCTGTTTTGAGCTAGAATACAACGATGGACATTTATTTTCTCATCACCAATCTAAAATAATTTTATTTTAAAATGCAAATAATTCATACTTTAATGACAAAATCTGAAAGCGTTTTATCTGAGAACAAATTTTTAAGCAAATTTCGTTCCCCAATTTGATTATTTGCAATTTGACTTCTATTATTCACATATTTTTTGCTGTAAGGCACAAATTCAACTTCACAATATAGTAACACAGAACCTACAAAAATGAAAATTAGTTAAAGCGTCGTTAAAGACCGAAATAAATTTTTTGAAGATTTCTATTAGGGTAGCACAAAACCGTTTAGCTAAACGATAAACGGGTTTTTTGCTAAAATTAAACGAAACGGTAAACGGGTCCCAGATAAACGGCATAAACGGTATACGGTCCTTCTAAACGCCGTTTAATTTTTCCTGGAATTAGTGAGTTAAAACGTGAATTTTTGCCTTCTGACACACTAAAATCAAAAAATTTCGCCTGCGGCGCAAAAAATGAAGAAATCTGACTTAAGGAACTCCAAAATTCTCAAAATTTTCGTCTGCGGCGCTGAAAATGATGAAATCTGACTTAAGGAAGAAATCTGACTAAAGGATGAAATTTGACCTTTAAATCCTCTCAATCCTTTTAAATCCTATTACATCACCATAATCCTTAGATATAATAATCCTCTGATCTCTTAATCCTCTGAACCCCTTTAATAACTCAAATTCTACCGATATCCCACAACAATTCTCTGATATACATTCAAATCCTCCAAATATCCAAAACCACTGATATCACTCTTAATCACCAAACCTCTAAATCCATCGATATGATGAATTTATAGTTGAATTATAATTTTTATAAAGCGGAATGATCATAATTAATGATTTTTCATTGGTTTTTTTTGAATTATGAATTGATTTTAAAAAATTTTAAAAATAAACTGTAAATGGCCGTTTAAACGGGTTTTTAAAATTAAACGAAACGGTATACGGGTCTCAGATAAACGGTATACGGTTTTTTCAAAATTAAACGGTTTTGTGCTACCCTAATTTCTATCAACCTTTTGTCTTATTTTCTCATTTTTTTTATTTTACTTCTATTTTTAATAATATGGAAAATAATTAAATATTTCACCATCAGTATGACAAATATTCTGTATGTTAATTTGAAATTTCTCAGATTCGGTTTTATTTTCAAAATTCTTTGAATAATTTCTAAAAAGCAAAACAAATTAAAGGCCTAAATACCGTATTTTTCCCAATATAAGCGCACGCCCCATTAGAAGCTCAGTCTACGAGGAGGTTGAAAATAGAAGCGCATGCGCTTCTATTGGGAAAAATACGGTAATTAGTATGACTTACGAACAAATATTTACACGTTTCCCCTCAATATTATGTGCATAAATACTATATTTAGCATACAAGCTAAATTTTGTCTCTTGTAATCCTATTTGGATGAGCGAAACATAAGTAGCAATATTTTGACTTCCGTACATTCCGTTGTTACATATGTTTTTTGGGTAAACACGTAATTGCCAAACGATTAAAGGGCATTTTGGATCGTAAAATTTCTTGCCTACATTTAATTTTAAAACAAAAAATTGTTTAAAATCATACTGATTAGAACTTGTTCAGACCCCAAGAATTCCTTGCGTAAATTCAAATCAAATATTTTCCATTCAATTTTACATTTAATTAAATCAACCTGAGAAGAAAGGTTATTGCCAGTAAAAATTAAATTAACCTTATCAGAAACATCGAAGAACATTGAAATTTTAGGAGTATTAGTAAGATTTCAAATGGGTACTAGAAATTATATAAAAATTATTAAACAGGAAATTGTTTTACAAATGAAAATGAAAGTGTTATCTCGTTAAATTTGCAGTTTTTGCTACTTTTCCGTTATACATATGCCCGCAAATCTTTTTTTATATTTTCCTTTTTTTTATCATAAAAGTCGCAAATGATCAATATTGAATAATGATAAATAAATTAAAAAATCATTCAATATGAGAGATGTGTCATTTATTATTTTTGCTAACTTCGTTGTTATTTTTTAAATGGTGACTAATTTTCTCGTTCCACTGTGAGCAAATCATTTAAAAATTTTTTCATTTCTAAATAATCTGTTCTTTTGAATTAATCCTTTGCAAAAATACCTATCAACACATCAATAAATAATTAAAAATTATCTTGACACTTATTTTTCACATTAAACATCAAAATTTAGATTATTAGCATATTGCAAACCAATAATATAAAAAATTCACCAAAATTATTGAAATTTCAAAAGATTAAAAGGCTGGAAATGAACAACGTTATTACAATTCCAGCAATAACTTATATTCTAAAATAGCTAAAAATTCCAATCTGTTGAGGTTTTATATTTTTGAAATTTAAGCACTAGATGGATTGTCAAAATTTTTGGAGATTCTCGAGATTTAAAACATTTATTTGGTTTTATTTGTCATGGGTTTTTCGTTAAAAAACAAATAGAATTACTATGAAATTATCAAAATTTTGTGACTTTTATTTTCTGTGTCAACATTATGAATGGATTCAAGTTGTTGTGAAATGGGTTATATTTTGGATAATATTAATTCTTTATAAATTACGATAAAAGATTCATCATTTTAAAAGTATGGTTTAATTCCAAAAACGGCCAAGTAATTGAAGTAAAAAAGAAAAGTTGACAAAAATTTACAAACTTTGTATTAAAAAATAAAAGTGCATTTACTAAAATGATGCAATATGCTAAAAATATACAATTGATATTAAAATAGCACATGTAAAAATATTGACAACTCCTTTTTATGTCTTTCCGATTAAAAAAATTTTATTAGCTGCGCAAACATTACCTATTTATATTACCTATATGTACATTTTTTATTATTTTTTCCGTTTCTCAATTAAGGACAGGCTTGTTTACAATTATTAAGCAGGTAAATTAAACTGGATTTATTGTACTTTTATCTGTTTTAATAATAAATACAGACGACACCATTTTTAATAAACTCTATACAAAATTTATTTCAATTGAAGAAATGTTTTTAAAATTTTAGTTGGCCACTAAGATAGGGAGGAATGTGCTGCCTAAGCGATACCCTCTATTTAAGATCCCTATATTATAAGATAATTTTTTAGCAAGTTTGTATCTTACAATGAGTTTCAAATATGTTTTAGAGGTTGTTATAATCTAAAGATACCTAAACTCTCAATTAGATTGAAAAATTATTTTTAGGTTTCCTTCAAATTTAAATTTACAGTAATAAAACGATAATAAATAACATAATAAATCAACTAAAATTAAATAACTTTCTACGGGATTTGTTTTAAATTAAGTTGCTATAATTGTTTAAATTTTTAATTAAATTTAAAATTTTTAAATCACATTGTAGAATCGATATTCACGTTGCCAAGAGTGTAATCAATATCCTTTCCCACTAACGAGGAACTTCCTTTATGCCTGGCAATTTCCAATGGCATTTTTTAATTTAAAAATTTAATTAAAGAAATAGCTAGTTTTTTTTCTCTATAAAATATTTATAATAAAATTAAAATAATTAAAATTTATTATTTATTAATAAAAAGACAAGTAAGGATAACGGTCTCGCCAAAAAGATAGAGATTCTAGTCTGTTTTCATAGTATGTTAAATAATCGGACACAAACGGTTAACCGACTGAAACTTAAAACCAGTAATTAATCAGGTAACCGGAACATGATCAGTGGAAAAACGTTGACAAAAACACACGGGTTCAGCTTTAAAAAATCCTAAAATTTAATTTTAGGAAATTTTATTCCTAAAAATTTAAGCAAAATATCTTAGTGTTGTTTAATTTTTATAATAACTTTTGATAAACTTATTTTGTCTATGGTCTAGTTATGAGACCAATGAAAAGTTTACGAATCCAATGAAAAATTATGAGTCGATTCAAGATTCTCTAAACCAATTTTAAAAAAGAGGGCTAACCTAGCATAAAACTGTAAACTCAAACAGGGAACCAGATGCGCATTCTTCTAATATTTTAATGATGCTCGGTAATCAGAATCTACCGAGACTCGAGATTGAGACCGAACCCGGGACGAGAAATCAAGACCTGAAAAACAAATCTCGGATCGCGACACGAGATCGGCATTTTTTTCTGAAAATTGGGTAAAAATCCAGACTTTTTTGAAAAAATTTTTTAACATTTCATGATTATTACAATTAAAAATTGAGATATTACTCCATGTCAGCAAGTGCTGATTTGATATAAGATTAATGATAGATAATGATTTGGCGGGATATCGGCGATACAGGGAGATTTGGAGGAATTAAGGGGATTTAAGTATCTACTTTGTGATTACGAGGAATACCAGAAGAGTTACGGAGGTGTTGGAGGATTAAGAGGACTTTGAGGGATACCGGGATATCTGGGACCCAGAACTGGCTTTATTATTTTTATTTATGGCCTTATTATAGAGAATATGAGATTTTGAAAATTTTGGAAGATAGTAGGCAAAAAAATTTCTTTTTTTCTATCATCCCTCTCATTTATTAAAAAAATTTTTTTCCACTTTTTTAGTTTTGGTAATACATATTTAAATATAAATTTACGAGTATAAAATTAAAAGGCGTTTCGGTTCGGTTTGATACCAACAACCCTACTTATAACTAGAGTTCAGCGGGATCGGGATCCCGGTCGGGATCGGGCGGGATTATCCCGGGTTTTTCGAATCCCGATCCCGATTTTTCTGATCCCGGTCCCGAAATAAATATCCCGATCCCGATCCCGGTCATTCTCAATCCCGAGCCGGGATCCGGGATCGGGATCGGGATGTGCATCAGATCCCGATGCAAATCCCGACTGTATAAATTGACTAGAAGTCTGTGAAATAAAGTTAACAAAAGAGGGGAGGCATAAAAGTAAGAAAAATTTTCGCCTGCGGCGCAGAAAATAAAAAAAATTTGGCATGTTGACATCCAAAATCTTAAAATTTTCGTCTGCGGCGCCGCAAAAATGAACAAAGCTGTCTTTACAACTTTAATGAAATATTGAGTGATTTGGTGTGATATCGAGGGATCAAGAGGGATTGAGAGGAGTATCGGTGGATTTACGGGGATTGAGTTAGATTTGAAGAGAAATCGAGGGCCCTCGATCCACGTTTTAGCGTAACGCACTTAATCGTTAGACTTGAATTAGACTTGAATGCCCTTGGCCTTCCAAAATTAAAAAATGTTGCCTGCGACGCTTAAAAGGGAGGAAATCTGGCACCTTGGCCTTCCAAATTTTTCAAAATTTTAGCCTACGGCGCTTAAAATAGAAGCCCAATCCCATTTATCCCCCCCCCCATTACCTTATCTCCTCTAATCCCCTAAATTATCTCCCTTAATCCCCTTATCTCCCCATAATCCCCAACCGGAAAGTAAATTATGTGTTTATGAGACTTAAACTCTATATTTCAGCACCGCAGCGGCAATTTTAGATTTATACTGAGTCGTATGTGAAGAAAATAAAAATTTTTAAAAAAATTTTTAGTAAATCCCGATCCCGATTTTTCAATCCCGGTCCCGATTCGGGATCGGGACCGGGATCGGGATCTCCAGTCCAAATCCCGATCCCGATTTCGGCTAATCACGATCCCGTGTCGAGATCCGGGATCGGGATCGGGATGACTATTCCTAAATCCCGATCCCGGGTTTTTCTCTAAATCCCGATACCGCTGAACTCTACTTATAACCACACACTTCTGTTGGAAGAAGTTGGAAAAATTATATTTATTAAAGATTCTTCCTTCAATTTTCTTTTCTTAAAATTTTTAATTGATTTTCAATGCTAAAAGGGCATTGAAAATTTTTGGCAACCCTCATGACATTTTTTTCCACTTCCACCTGCCCTCTTATAAAATTTTTTATTAGACAATGAAATTTTTTAAAATTAAATTTCCTTTTTGTTGAGTCTCTTGTCATTTGATTTTAAAAATTTCTCCTTAATTTTGCCTTAATTTTCCTTTAAAAATTTATTAAATTTTTTATTTTTTATAAATTAAGATTATGAAGGGCCTTCAAAAAAATTTAAAATTGATTATAAGTTTTAAATCTGAATCGAGAACTTAGGGTGCCTGTTAATAATCAGTTTTGTTCCCTCCTTTTAAGTAAAATATATACGTAAGATATGTATGTATCAACTTTAATATTAATTTAATAAAAATTTTAAAAACAGCCACTATAATCCAAAATGGATATCATTTGGCTTTTTCGTTTAATTCTTTTAAATATTATTATTATAAAATATTTCGTAATTGGTGTAAAGGAAAACAATGAAATTGTTAACAATAAAGGAAAGAAAAAGTTAGAAATACATGAAGAAGGATCCAAAAAACTTATGGTGTCAGGCCGAATCTTCATTTGCCACCATTAGCGCCTAAAACTAAAGGTAGTGCAGGACTAGTCATACGGACTACAATCCAAAAATCTTAGATTTTTTAAACGACTTGTTAGGGATATTCCAGAATTTTAGCGATTAATTCCTCAAAAAATATAGAATTGGAGGATTATAACAATAGGCAGTCAATCTAAATATAAAATTTTGATAATTAAAAGTGTATAGGTAATATTATCACGTTTGAATCAGCAGATTAATATAATTCATATAACTTTAAAGTTATCCAATCATATTTATCAAATTATATTTTGATAAATATTTATTTTTAGATCGGCAGAGAACCAAGTCGAGGAAAGTAACATATATTAATGCCGATATTAAAAATTTCAAAGAAATGGTCCATAAAGGTAAAAATTAGAGAAGTTGTAAAATTAAATTCAAAAATTTTGGTTGTTGGGTTTTTCAGTACGTAGATTCCTTTTTTCAGTAGTTGCTTTCAGTATTTTCATTTAAAGCTTGATATAAGAAAGTTTGTATTTCAGGACCGGCATCTGAATAACCTAGTGTAAAATATATATATATATATATATATATATATATATATATATATATATATATATATATATATATATATATATATATATATATATATATATATATATATATATATATATATATATATATATATATATATATATATATATATATATATATATATATATATATATATATATATTTTACACTAGGTTATTCAGATGCCGGTCCTGAAATACAAACTTTCTTATATCAAGCTTTAAATGAAAATACTGAAAGCAACTACTGAAAAAAGGAATCTACGTACTGAAAAACCCAACAACCAAAATTTTTGAATTTAATTTTACAACTTCTCTAATTTTTACCTTTATGGACCATTTCTTTGAAATTTTTAATATCGGCATTAATATATGTTACTTTCCTCGACTTGGTTCTCTGCCGATCTAAAAATAAATATTTATCAAAATATAATTTGATAAATATGATTGGATAACTTTAAAGTTATATGAATTATATTAATCTGCTGATTCAAACGTGATAATATTACCTATACACTTTTAATTATCAAAATTTTATATTTAGATTGACTGCCTATTGTTATAATCCTCCAATTCTATATTTTTTGAGGAATTAATCGCTAAAATTCTGGAATATCCCTAACAAGTCGTTTAAAAAATCTAAGATTTTTGGATTGTAGTCCGTATGACTAGTCCTGCACTACCTTTAGTTTTAGGCGCTAATGGTGGCAAATGAAGATTCGGCCTGACACCATAAGTTTTTTGGATCCTTCTTCATGTATTTCTAACTTTTTCTTTCCTTTATTGTTAACAATTTCATTGTTTTCCTTTACACCAATTACGAAATATTTTATAATAATAATATTTAAAAGAATTAAACGAAAAAGCCAAATGATATCCATTTTGGATTATAGTGGCTGTTTTTAAAATTTTTATTAAATTAATATTAAAGTTGATACATACATATCTTACGTATATATTTTACTTAAAAGGAGGGAACAAAACTGATTATTAACAGGCACCCTAAGTTCTCGATTCAGATTTAAAACTTATAATCAATTTTAAATTTTTTTGAAGGCCCTTCATAATCTTAATTTATAAAAAATAAAAAATTTAATAAATTTTTAAAGGAAAATTAAGGCAAAATTAAGGAGAAATTTTTAAAATCAAATGACAAGAGACTCAACAAAAAGGAAATTTAATTTTAAAAAATTTCATTGTCTAATAAAAAATTTTATAAGAGGGCAGGTGGAAGTGGAAAAAAATGTCATGAGGGTTGCCAAAAATTTTCAATGCCCTTTTAGCATTGAAAATCAATTAAAAATTTTAAGAAAAGAAAATTGAAGGAAGAATCTTTAATAAATATAATTTTTCCAACTTCTTCCAACAGAAGTGTGTGGTTATAAGTAGAGTTCAGCGGTATCGGGATTTAGAGAAAAACCCGGGATCGGGATTTAGGAATAGTCATCCCGATCCCGATCCCGGATCTCGACACGGGATCGTGATTAGCCGAAATCGGGATCGGGATTTGGACTGGAGATCCCGATCCCGGTCCCGATCCCGAATCGGGACCGGGATTGAAAAATCGGGATCGATTTTTCGAAATCCCATAAACCTATGGGGAGTCGGCGAGACGCTTGTGCAAAACCCCGCGCTTCGCGCGGGGTTTTGCGGCACGCGTCTCGCTGGAGTCAACGGTCGCTGGGTTCTACAATAGTAACATAATCCTACTCCTTTTGTGGATTTTCGGCATTGAAATGCCGACCTACCCATTCAGTAGTAGCACAAAAATTAAAAAAAACAAGAACTAAAAACAAAATTAAAAAAAATAAACAAAAATATTAAAAAAAGACAAACAAACCAAAAAAACAAAACATAAAACAAAGGAAAAACAAAAAAGAAAAACATACTCAAAAAACGAAAAATAAGCGAAATAGTGCTAAACAGACTATTAAATTAATTTAATAACTGAAATTTTCCTAAATCGTCGGAAAAATTGAATTTTTCCGGAAAAATTGAAATTTTCCGGAAAAATTGAAATTTTCCTAAAATTGAAATTTACCGCCGACATATATATATATATATATATATATATATATATATATATATATATATATATATATATATATATATATATATATATATATATATATATATATATATATATATATATATATATATATATATATATATATATATATATATATATATATATATATATATATATATATATATATATATATATATATATATATATATATATATATATATATATATATATATATATATATATATATATATATATATATATATATATATATATATATATATATATATATATATATATATATATATATATATATATATATATATATATATATATATATATATATATATATATATATATATATATATATATATATATATATATATATATATATATATATATATATATATATATATATATATATATATATATATATATATTTCTCAGAATTAAAAAACTATTTTCGATTTGCCCTTAAACAATTTGAAAATCGCATAACTTGAAATTTCGGGGTGTAATCCTAATAATACCCTTAAAACAATTTATAGATTTATTTGGGTTTGCAGAAAAATACTTTTACATAATGTGATATAATATTGAAATTATCATTTCTATTAAAGTAACAGGCTTCCCGGATGAAATATATGACATTAAGCAGGAACATGATAACCTAACTGAAGGTCCTTTTGTAAACAATAATGCAAACATGGATGATTTGGGTAAAGAACATTTATTGCAACATAATGAACATTCTATTGATGATCAAAGGTATTAAATATGAATATGTAATTGTAATAATAATTTTTAAATTTAGTTATGTCGAAATACCGATATTGGAAAGTAGCGATTTAACGATAAAATCTGCAAAAATAAACAATTTCAACAATCTTCACAATACTTTTATTAAGAGAGGAAATAAAAAACAAAACAATAATTACATTCAAAACCAACATCAAGTTAGAATACCGATATTAGAAAGTAACAACTCAGCAATAGACACAGAAAAAATTAAACAAGAACAAAACGATCATTATAATCAGAGCCGAGATAATTTTATTTCAGCTCACCATAATTTTCCTAATGAAATTACAAATTCATTAAATCAAAATCACCATTCTTTACAAGATTTTCCAATGATCAAACATGAAAATCTCAAAAATAATTTTGTGGATTATCCCCATAATTTTGATTTGGACTACTTTAATGAATTAAATCTTGGGGATTTATCTATAAATGAAGGTCAAAATATATCTGAAATGCATCCAAATATACAAAATTTTAACAACAATTTTGTAAATCCCTATAATAATCAGATGCATGATTATCAACAACAACAAATTCAAAACCAACTGCCTCAGAAACATCAAAATCTAACCAATTCAAGTGGTCTTCATTATCAAAATCAATTTGATCATTCTCAACATCAAATTGGAGAAAGCTCAAATGGAGCATATGTTCAACAACAAAATCAGCTAGACCTTCCTCACTCGCATATGCCTTATAATCAATTTCACCCAGATATTTTACATCATGGTTATGATTATACACATCCTGATTTACAATATTTGTTTGGAGAACAAAATGAAATTGGTGATAATTCAACAGGAGTATTTGGGGAACTGTATGATGAATTTCATAATATTCATGTACAACCCGAAAACAAAAATCTTGTTCATGATTATCACAACAAGTTACAAGATAATCAAATAAATGGTTTTGAATTACATGGAACAAGTGTAAGTAATCTTGTAATTATATTTTTGATTACCCAAATTTAAAGGGATACAGCAATAATATACAGGATAAAGCTAGCGGATCTTCAACTAAATTTGATGGACAGAAAGGAATTTAAGGTATTATATTCATAATAAAAGTTTCTTCGGTAATGTTCTGTTAAACCTTATACATATTTTATAGTTTTTTTTTTAATTTTTAAACGAAATATCTAATCATTAGCAATAAATATTCAAAAAAATTCAGATGAAAACAAATTGAAAAGAGAAATTTTGATTACGATGATGAAATGAGTAAAATATGTAAATATGTATACATACATATTTAAATTAAAAATGGTTAAAATGGAAAGAGGTTCTAATAAATTTAGATCACAAAGGAAGCTAATTACTTTGAAAGTAAGGGTGGCCTGGATCTGGATCCAGACTTTGACTTTTCCTGTAGGGTCAACACCGAAGCATTTTTCAGGGTTCCTTGATCTTAATTTTTCCTTGACTCGAGGTCGAGAATTTGGGGATAAAAACATTAGGACTACACAATCATAATCAAGGTCAAGGTTTTTCAAATTCCCGATATCTTGGATAATTTTAAAAAATACTTCTATTTCGCACCTAGAAAAATTTCTACAATAGTCAAACTAAGATCTACACATTCATTATAATTGCTAATTTGGTGTATGCTAAATTTATAGAGCATCTTTCTTCCATTTTATGAAAATTTTTTAAGTTGCAAAAATTTAAGTTAAATTCTAAAATTATTTTTATTTCATTATTAAATTTGTACATGTTTATTTTTTAAAACATTTTTATTTTATTATATCGGTGTTTAAATTTTTTGACTAATTATTGGAATTTCCTGTAATGATGATTTTGATTTGCTTATTTTTTATTTTATACTTTTATAAAAACCCCAGGCGCCTATTCAAATTATATAAAGTTTCTGATATGACATGCCAAATGATGGCCAGATATGATTTTTATTATGACCAATTTGAACAGAAAATTTACATATTACAGGCCATAAATATGACATGTCATATTATCACAAACTTCATTTTTATTTACATTTTAAAGGGTCAATCAAGATATTCTAAAATAATTTTAAAATCATCAATTTATTTTGTTCATGTTATTTTAAATATCATTCATTAAAGTTCAAAATTTTCATTTTATTAAAATTTAATTTTTTTATTCGCGTCTTTTATAATTGCTTTTATTTAATTAAATTAAATATCCACATGATGACCAATATAATTATTTACTAAAGCAGGATGAACTAAATTATCATTGTTGTTGACACCAATAATGATTTTAAAACGTTTGTAAATTATTTTAAATGCATGACGGGTATCTTCTCGAATTGTTTTATTGAGGGTTAAATATATTAGAGGTGGGAAACCTAAAGAAATAGAAATAAAAGTTTAGTTAAAATATTGAAGTTATATTAAAACCAGCCAATTAACAAACATACCGTGAATAGCTAACCTGAAATTAATTAAATTTATAGTAGGAAAATAAAGTGGAGATTAAGATTTAAATTTAGTCAAGCTGTTTTTGATCATTAAAAGAATCGGCATGATAAAAATTTCTCTGAATTTTTCTCTATTAACGGCTCAAAATTCTTGTTCGGTTATTCATTATTTATACTTTTGTGCTTAACTTAAAATTTGATTCTAGTTTTTTTAGAAATTTTTAGAAAACACGCCAACACTATTTTAAGAATATTCTAACAATTTTCCTACATTCCCTACAAAATTACAAATAATTTACCATCCAATTCCCGCAGTAGTAAAAATCCATTGGGGAACTTTTGTTAAATAATCCATTAAAACATATAAACCAGCAACAGAAGTATTTAAAAAAGAGATAATAAATACTTGAATAAATGTCTAAAAATTAAAAATGATTTTATCAAATCATTTTCTCGATTTACATATTTTTCTGATTTAGTCAATGCTGTATTGCTTCCAACTTTCAATGCTCGATTTTTAAAAAACATAACAATAGAAAATATTAAATATGTAGAAGGAGAGACAATCGCAACAATAAAATTATGTTTTATGATAAGCGACATTTTGTACTACATATATAAAGAAAAAATTAGTGTTCGAGCCGGACCAGATCCGGAAGGAATATTTTCGAGTCAAGTACCAAAATTTTTCTTGATTGCCCAACTATTGCCCTAATCATATAATTCTTTAGACCGATATATCTTAAATTTTCTTTTTCAAAATTTACAACTTTATCAGCAAGATCATTTCTAAATCCAGTATATGGATTGCCAAACCAAGCAAAATATTTTGGGGTAAAAATCATTGGAGGAGTAAAAGATAAACCATAAAAAGCATAAGAAGAAGAAATTAATAGCCAAATATATGTCCTTTTCCCATCAAAAACTAAGCGAGCCAATGAAGGTGAAACAACAAATAAACAGCGATTGAAAGCCAAAATCTAATAGGTATATTTTGGTTAAATTATTAAATGAATGAATTTAGTTGCATTTATTACAAATTAAATAAATTATTTCCTACCAAGTCTGCGGTAGTTTCTGCTAACCATAAAACTAAATAGATAATTAAAAAAATTAAATTATTAATTATTTTTATTCCTCGTATTCTTGTTTCCATTTTTCTTTTATACGCTTTGATAAGCTTTTGCAGAAATGCCTTTGATATATTTAGAGGTCGTAGTCATGCCCGAAATAGTTAAAAAATAGTCTCAAAACATACATATTCGGTCTAAACTTATAATATTTGTCATATAAGAAGTCGAACACGATTTAGAACTTAAGGCTTTGAATAGTTTTACTATAAGTCATTGATATAATCCTAGTCTACAGATGGTATTTTGGTCAGTGAGATTATCCTAACAAGGTTCAGAAGAAATCTAGATCTTTATAGTCTTTAATATAAAGGTGTTCTACATAAATATTTCTATTTAATTTTCGTAAATATTTCCTAATCATAAAAATACATACAAACTCCAATCATGCCAGCAAAATAAATTAAATTTGGATAAATACAAAAGGAAGCTCGTTGTAAAGCTAAAAATGCATGAAGGAATCCACAAACACAAATATTTAATAAATCGGTAAATCCAATATATAACAACAATTTATAACAACTTTGAGTAAAAGAATATCTCCAAATAACACAAATACAAGGTAAATAAAATAAATAAGACAAAATTCCAAGTAGAATTATTATAATACTTTCAATATGGTATGATGGAGTAGAAGAGTCCCCATATTTTGAGAATTGTTCCATTTCATTAATAATCTCGGGAGTACAATTATAAAGACGTAAATAATCAGAATGACGAAATATGTAGAGTTCCATAATTAAATTCGGATAATTAAAGTCTTTAGGAGCTAAAGTAGATTAATTATTTGGTTTACGTTTTACAAAAGTCGATATGGGATAACTATAACTCCACCCCGATTTTTCGAATTTAAGCATGATTTTAAAGCTTAACTTAACTGAAACTATTATAAAATGATATATTATATTATTCCATATTACTCAATAAAATTTTTTTAATTAATAAAAAATAGAAAATATTATTAAATTTTTTGAAAAAATAGGTGCTTTATATACATAGTATATAGGTGCTCTATAACTCCACTTAAAGTAAATTGCTTCAAAACATTAGGAAAAATCATTCTATTTGAATAAACCCTATCCCACTTATTCACCCTAAGCCCAAGCTTTTAGTATGTTCATTTAATTAAACATTTAATTAATAAATTCTGAATAAAAAATTATTAATATTAAAAAGAATTAAACTTATAATTCTTTTACTTTTATTTTTAACATAAAAATAAAATTAAATAGCAGATTGTTAAAAATGACAAATAAATATATTAAATTAATTTGAAAAATTTTTATTATTTAAAAAAATAAATTTATTTACAGCTTTATATTTCCTATTTTTATCTACACCTTTTTTTCATTTTCATTGCACTAATTTAGAAAAAATTAAATTAGTTTGTGAGACTAATAAATGAAAATAAATTATTTTTTTTTAATTTAATTTTTTAAATTTATTTTTATTTATTTACTATAATAAATTTTTTATTATATTTTAATAAATTAATTTTTAATTATTAATCAATAATGCCCTCTATCCGATAATGGATTTTTTGTAAAGTGCGTGCTATTCCCTAATTATTTTTTATTTTCCCTAATTATTTTTACTTCCGTGTCCTTATTTAAATTTTGTCTAATTTATAGCTTCTGAGAGTTTTTCAAAAGCTAGTTTTCTTGTGTTCTACAAATATGTAGAATTCATTTTGTTTTGCTTAGAAAAGAATAATAGGAGAGCGAAAAGCTTTTTTTGTGAAAATCATTTGGCTTGTTTTTGATTGTTAGGAGTGTGACGTTGTATATGGACAATTCAATTCGACACGGTCTCAAATTATAAGTTTATTAAGCCGAAAAACGGAGGAGGATGCCAGGCATTTCGTGTAGTACAAACAGAACAAAATTCAGCAATGCATCTGCCTCCTTACTCAAAAACAAAAAATTATTTTGTTGTAGACGTCCTAATTAATTTAACTTGACAAAATAAATCAATTATTTGAATTATCGAATGTAAGACCTTCCTTCATATAAAATCGAACGCGCTCTTAATTGAATTGATTATTGAATTTATTGCCCTCCTTCAATCATTAAACATAATTTTTAATTCTATTAAAATTTTTAAATTATAATTAAAAGGAGAAAAGAGAATCGTTGAAATTAACTTTATAAACCTTTTAAAAATATTTTATCAAAATTAAAATTAAAAAATTTAATTTTTAGAGTTTCAATGAAACTTTTTATATTTTTAATATTTATGTTGATCATAAACACACTTTCAACAACAAGTATTTTTAATGGCACTAATTTAAAGCGAAAGTATATAAATGCTTTTAATTCTCTAAAAAAAGGTATTTCATGTAAAGCTACAGATGTAATAATACCTTTGATTAAACCTTTAAGAAAAATTAAGTCTGAAAGAAAAATAAATCAAGGAGAAAATGAACAAAAAAATTCTGGTAAAATGCAAAAGTTTAAGGATAATTAATAAATAATATTTAAGGTTCTGAGGTAGCTAATACTTCATTATCAAGCCCAGAACAACCAAAATTTAAAAAACCTCGAAAAAATTCGATTTCCAAAGAAGAATTGGAGAAAACAATACAAAGAATTGATAATTTAAGTTTTGAAAGTAATATAGAACCAATTACTTGTGGTTAGTTAAATAATCTTAATAAGTTGCTAACTACGAGGACGAAAAAATTTTTTTTATAGAGTTATGGGGTGTGTAGCAGGGGTTCTAACAGTTCGGGGTTCCAAGATTTACTTTTGATCAGTTTCCCGTCGTAAAATGTCAGGGGTTTTGGTATCCATTGGCATTCCTTTTAGGGAGTTATTTTGGAAGAAAATGTTATTAGTGAATTATATAGACATCTAAGTTAAAATTATTTTACTTTAAACTTGAATATGTTTTTACGTATAAACTAAGAGGTGCTTATCATTTTCTGACAGAGTGTAGAACCAAATACTCCCCTCTGGAACAACCAATTTGCTTTCTGACAAAATGATTAAAATAACTTCTCGAAAAATAGATTTATACATAGTTTTTAAAAAATTTATTCTAGCGTTTTCAAAAGAAAAAATTGAAGAAATATTTACCACGATAAAAAAAGAAAACAAAAATATTTCACAAGAATTTATTATTAAATTCAATATTTTATGCAATTCGGAAACAAAATTTAACAATTTTGTTAATTTAGTAAATTATTTATTAGAAAATGAAGTACAGATGAATAATTTAGAAAATAAATTAAAAAATTTAGTTGAAAATGTGAAAAACTTTCGTTCAAAAAATTTCAATGAGAATGAACAATCCAGTAAAATATTGAAGGAAATAACATTGATAGCTCAATTTTCTACATATAATGGGGTTGAAGTGAAGGTTGCAAACGAGGCTTTTGATGATATTCTTAAAGAGATGGTTGTTAATTTAATATTAAAATTATAGTTCGACATCGGTCCGGGCCCGTAACGATGCTTCCCGTAAAGCGAGTATTTTGAAAGTCCGGTTTGAGTTTTCGAGGTTTAAACTCTGAAACTCCGGCCAGTTTGAAGTTAAAAAATGGATACAGGGCCCGACAATTTGAAATGTTGGAATTTAGTTTTCATGATACATATACATATTTCCTTAAGAAAATGATTACTAAAAATTATATTTTTAGGAAGAGATGGAAGAGTTTCAACTAGTTGTAAAATTTTTGCGAATTCTTATCTTTTGTGCTACAATAAAACATTCATTTTTAAAAACTAAAAGAAAGATATCAATACAATTTTGTGTTAACTATGTATTACCCAAGGCAAGAGATGTTTTATATTCAGTTGGATTAGGATTTAATTTTGGGGAATTTCAAATTAAGAAGATGCAAAGTATAGATAGAGTGGAAACTGGCAGTAAATTGAAAGTATCTGATTGGTTAGTGCCAGAAAAAGTTGTAGAGAGAAAGAAAAAAGCTAATTGGAAACCAAATTTAGAAGTGATTAATGAGGAATGAAAGTGATGAAAGAATGAAAGATGAAAGAGAAATGAAAGCAAAAAATGAACAAAAAAATTATAAGCTAAAACTACCTATTTTTAATTCGTAATGGGCAAATTTTCTTTTTTTTATGTTTATTTTTGTCTATTGAAAAATATAAATCCAAGTCTTTAATTAAATCATTAGAGTAACTAAGTTGAGCGTTACTTAAAATGCCGGGATTAATTATCATACGCCAAACGTCCCGGAACAATAAATTTGGAGTCTTATATTTCATTAAAATTTATTTGTAATATGAAAGCCAAGATATTGACAACTGAAAAATAAAGCCCCAGACATTTGGCAATAAATTAAAAGTGCATTAATCGACTTTAAATAAAAAGTACAATTTCTTAATTAAATTGCCTAGACTTAAAATGGCTGCACTTTCCAAAATTTATTGAGTAAATCCCGGCATTTTAATTGCTTTGATGTACATTAAAGAGAACCCGAATAAGTCGGTATTTTTCCTTTGAAAATTTTTTTAAAAGGGCAAATATTATTTTAGATTTTAATTTACATAAAAGCAATAATAAATTTAAGTATTTTCATTTAAATTTTTATTTATTAAAATAAACTAATTTTATTAATGGTAATTGGCCATTCTACCATTTCCCCATAAATTAAAGTTAAAATTTCATATATGTAAATATAATAATATGAGCGTAATTAAAAGTGATTACAAACTGTCTCATAATTGTCGTATGATTGTCAGATTCCAAAGTTTTATTCCAGGGAAGCAAATTTCACATTATATTCAGAGGCATTTCTTTGTTTTTTTTTGTTTGTATATCAGCAAAATATTATAATTATAAAAAATAATTATAAAAATATTATAAAAAATATATAAATTTACTTTTTAGCTTGATAAATGAAGAGTAATTTAAATATTCTCCTTTCATTTTTCATAATTCTTTTAGTTTCCCTATTTGAAATTAATGCTGCGGATTCATGTGAGAATCCCTGTGTTGACAACCATCTTAAAGAAGAATGTAAAGGAAGTATGGAATATTAATTTATTGAATTAATCTTGAATCAATTTCAGTTTATGACGATGACAAACAATTAGCACAACACTATGTAAACACTTTCTTTGGTGAAAATGAAAAAGATTTCCTGAGAAATCTTTCAGGAATTAATATAATTATATGGCATCGAAACATTGATTATAAATTAACTAATAAATCAAAATGGAATAAAAACGCTCAAAAATTTAGAGTTTGGGCTCTCGAAATTTGGGAAAAAATGCAAGATGAATTTGACAAGCATTATTGTTATTTTTTTGATAAGGATGTTAATATAGAAGATTTGAAGTCTATAAGCAAAAAAGTTCCTAAACTTTTTGATAACATTTTTGATATAATTACTGGATTAAATAATAAAGCTTCGATAAAAATTAACAAAGATATCGAAGGAAGCACTTTTAAGGAGAACTTTAAGGTTTGGCATAAAATTATTCTAACTATCAATTATAATTGAAAACATTATCTATTATAATTATCTATTAGTTCTTTAACAATAGGGATATCTACAAGGAAGAACACCCTTTAACCGAGTTCACCGAGTAGCGAATTCCAAAATATCAATCTTTATTCTAAGTTAAAATAAAAATAATTTTTACTTTAAAAATTAATTTTAAGAATAAATTGCGAAGTTTAAATGACGACTTATACAAGATAAAGGATGAGGAAAACGATATTGAATCTTTGATTGATAGGATGAGTGAAGCAAGATATAGTATTTTCGTAAAATTGCTTCAAAATGGTGACTTGGACAGTAATTTTGTCACACAGTTTTTTCAGGGTTAATTTTTGTATTTTTTAAATTCCGAAATTATCGCATTAAAAATCAAGATCCGTTAAATTTTTCCTATATCGTTGAATCAGATTTGTATTCGCTCAAGCTATACTGCAGAATTGTGAGGAAACTTACTCAACTCTGCAACACAGAGCAGAATAAAGTGCAGCTAAGCTGTAAAAGCTAAGCTGTAAAATAATTAAGCAGAAATACATTTAAGAAAACCCAAGAAACTTAAAAATTCCATTTGATTAAAGACAATGTTAATAAAAAATTTTCAACAATTAATTTTATTTTTTACTTAAAGAAACAATTTCTAACAATCAACAATTATATTCAAGAATAGAAGAAACAGTTGGATATAAGTATTCTCAGAAAATAGCTATTCGTATTGTAGAACAAATTCAGGCAAAACTTAATCTAGAATTGGAAAGTAAAAGCGACAACAAAAAAGGTTACTAGTATTTTTTACAAAAGTTTAAGTTTAAAAAATTTTTTAAGAAGAAATAAACGAGGTTGCAGAGATTTTGAATGAAATGGGTATAATTGATAATGATAAAAAAGATATATCATCTAGCACGAATTCAAAAAAACGAAGCAAGAAAAATAGAAAGAAGAACCAAAATAAAAAGCATGTGGACAAGAATAAAGTGAATAACGGCAAAAATACTGCGCAATATCTCGAAAGTGATGTTGAGGACAAAACTAAAAATAACCAGAGTTTAAATAATAAAATAGGTGAAAGTTTTCAAGCGGATAGAAATTTTAATGAAGATAACGTTGAAAATGTTGAGGATAATGAAGGTTGGGTTCTGAATAAAAAGGATGAGATGAAACAGAGAAAGGAAGAGAAGAAAAGGAAGATGGAAGAGGAAGAAAGATTAGAACGGCTTAACAAATTGAAAGGAAAGGATATTGCAGATAAAATTTCATTTTCATTTAATAATATTAAGAAAATGAACTATAAGGAATATTATGATGCCGAAATGAAGAAGAATAATTTGAATAATGAAAGCATAATTGAAAATAAAATAAAAATAAATGAGGATTTGGAAAAAATAGACAACTCAAAGGAAATTAAAGATAGAAAACTATTTGTAAATCCAGCAATCAGTTTCAAGTCAATTCTTGATAAAAAGGATTCGAGAAATGTATTGAGTGAGAATAGTAAATTGAAGGAGGGAAATGAAGAAAGCAAGTGCGAAAAGGAAGATAAATTTAAAAATGATGAAAAGGAGGACAAGGCTCTTGTTTCTTCAAATAAAATCGTTAATTCATCAAAATTTTCTCCTTTCACTCCAATTAAATATTTAGAGGAGGATGCATTAAATGAAAGATATATGAGATTTATTTCAAATAATGAAGATCCTAGGAAGATTATTCCATCTTTAGACATTGGAGTTATTGTTAATGAATTTATTAAACGATTTATGCACCTTCAAAAAATCAGAATGAAGAATAACTGCCAGGATAAAAATGTTAATTTGACTTTCGGAGAATTTCAAGGTACTGATTTAATATCAGCAGAAAATGTTCCCTTCTCAAATTCATTTAGAATAAATTTTACATTGAAGCTTTTAACCCTTTATTTTAATTGGTGAACTAGAAAAATCTTGCTTTATAAATAGTAGAAATCGTAAATTTTGAAAACCCTGGACCTGTTCCTGGACTCTGGATTTTGATTTATTGACCTGGACTGGATCCTCGGCCTGAAGTCCAGGAAAAACCCATAGGAAAAACCCAGGAAGGTCAAAAAATGCCTGGACCTTGACTCATAGTACAAGAAGAAAAGGCCTTGGTTCCGACCCAGGCCGATCTCTACTTTATAGAACTCTCGGAGTTAATTCTATCCATTTTTGGAATAGAGCTTAAAGGACTTAAAGTATGCAAATTTTTATTAATCAAAAATAAAAATTATTTATTAAAGGAAAAGTTGACGAACAAAATGTTAGTGATTGCTCTCTGTTAAAGTTGGTCTTAAAATTGGAAAACGAATTTAATGAAATAAATGGAGACGCAAATTGCGTTGTAAATAATATGGAGAAATTAACAGAGCTGGAGAATAGATTCCATTCATTGTTAAAAGAATTAACAATGATTATGGATGACTGGATTGATCTACAAAAAGAAACCAATCGAGAATTAATGGACGAAGAAATTAAGGCAGTTAAAATAAAGTTGCATAAGCAAAGGTAATTATCATAAATAAACTTTAAAGAAATTTTAAAAATGTTGAAATTTTACTAAAATGAATGTTAATATTAGGGTTCAACCCCACCCCGGGGAAAGTAATTTTCCGGGGAATGGGGGGAGGTCTCACTCCAGAGCACCTGTTCCCCATCACCGCAGTTGAAAAAAATTCAAAGGGGGGGGGGGCGAGGGGGGGGGGGTAAATTAAAAACACTATTCCAGCTATAAATAAATTTTTTAAAGGCTTGCAAATATAAATTCTAATCGCCAATGGAATTTAATGAAGCAAAAGAAACAAAAAAGAATATTATTTTCACTGCTAAATAATACAAATGTTAACGAATTTACTGATTATTTAAATAATTATGAAATTAAAAGGTTGCAGAAAGTGTTAATAAGTTAGTTGATTAATTTTTAAAAAATTCTAAAAATATTCTCTAAAAATTTAGCATCAACTGAAAATAATTTAATAGATTTTCCAATTTTTGATGAATTGCCTTATTTTTATGTTCAGAAGGAATTTGCAAGAAATATTGTATATACATATGTTAAAAATTTTTTTATAAAAATTGAAAAATCGTAGTTTTATGAAAACCAGATTGTACTATAATCAAAGAAATTATAATTTCCAATGGATTCTTTTAATCTTTTTCGAAAAATAAATATAAGTTATCCCGAAATGCAAAAGTCTACTTACGAATATCTTTAAGATTTTAAAACCTTATACGAAAAACAAGATTTAAGTTTTTCTGAAACAATGCCGGATAATTTCTCCTAGATTTCTCATAGATTCGCGATTAATTAATTATTTGTTTAGCTTAATGAACAACTGAACAATTCAACCACCGTTAAAAATAAAGATAGATCTTCTCAAGAAATAGTAAAGATAGTTTCAATTATTTCAAAATGGGCTAAATCCAAAAATTGTCATCTGATTGAATTTTTATTGAGCGGCTCTCGAAAATTAAAAACAGAAACTATTGACTCGGATGTTGATGCTATTGTTGTATTGCATAAAAAGAAAAATGATAATTGTAAAATAAATGGATTAAATAATTTTTACGGAAATCCAGATTTTGATTTATGCCAACCTTTTGTTGAACAGATAAAATGCAGTGATAATTCACTTTATTGTTATTTATGCAATGTAAAGTATTTTTTAGAGATTAATATAGGAATAAAATTGTATTTCCGGAAGAGTGTTTAAACTCATCCTAAAATTCGGAGAGTGTTTGGAAACTCATCCTAAAATTTTTGTTGTTTTCCCTATCATGGATTTTTATCCGGAACCAAACTTTTAAATTCTCATTTCTACAGTTCGGTCCAGAACCTAAAACCTTACAAATACGATCTAATTATAAAATTTAGAATTATTCAATCAAAAAGCTTCACAAAATCATGCATACCCGCATTAAAATAATAAAATTTAATACAAATGGAATTAATTTTGACATTTCCTTTATAATAATTGATGAAATTCAATTAGAAACATTAAAAAATACTTTTCCATTAAATCGATTAAATAATCAAGAATTTGAGGAAATAATAGAACATAAGAGACAAAAATCCAAAAATTTGTACAAACCCGAAGATTTGTCTGGAATTGAAAGCGAAATATATTCGCTTGCTTCGTTTAATTCAAATAATATTATGTTGAAATTTATAGAAATGACTGGTAATGTGAATAAATTTCAATTATTTGCGAGGACGATTAAGAAATGGGCTAAAAGTAAGTTTAGTTTGTTAATTTTCTCGATACGTTAAATAATAATTTATTTTATCAAAAAGAAGATAAAATATTAAGATTCACAAATGAAATTAAGATCAGATATAAAGATAAGATTTTAACCCTAATAGGATCAGAGTTAAAATTAGGGTTGTTACTATCGGTTATTAATCTGTACACACGGTTTTCGGTTAACCGACAGTGAACAACCTTGTTTAACCGTGAAAATTTCAGTCGTTTAGAGGAATTTCTTGAATCCCGAAATCACCAAAAATTACAGATCAAATATTTTTTGAACGATCAGAATGTACTCATTTTTTTATATAAATTTTATAAATTTATTTAAAAATAAACCCTCTGTAACCTCTACGGTGAATTTATTCTTTGTATTTTAGATCATTTCATTTATGACGGTCAATTTGGATTTCTAAATGGCGCAACATTGAATGTGCTAGTTACTAAAGTTTTATTGCTATATTTCGATTCATCATTGCTTTATTTGTTGCAAAAATTTTTTCAAACATATATGCAATGGTTAGATAATTTATTTAGGTTAATTAAATATCGCTTATTACTTTTAGGGATTGGCAAAATATTGTAAGTTTAGATGAATTAACAAATAAACCGCTTAGCTGGAGTTCTGAGGAAGAACTTAATAAAAGAAAAGGAATATATCTCGGTAAAAAGTTTGGGGTATCAGAGAAGGAAATGAAAAGATTAGAAAATCATGCAAATCTGATAATAGTTGTTTTAACACCTGGTTATCCAAAACAAAATTGTTCTTTTAATGTTAATTATTCAACTAGACAAATAATTCAAAAGGAGTTGGAAATTGGTAAAATTTCTCGTGATGAATAATAAGGAGTTTTCTAAATGAACCCCAACGATTATAGATGAAAAATTAAGAGACATTTGGGAAAATAGAGGTTGGACTCGCCGTGATAGAAACTTTCAGTATCTAAGTTATCGGGGGTCGAGATTTTAGGAGCGATGTATATTACACGTTCAATGGATGTGTAAATGTCTAATAATTATAACTTATTCCTTTCGATCTTTATAGAATAATTTAGGTAATAATATGCTAATAAATGCAAAAAATACGTACGAAGAAATAAGTTTAATTAATAATTGGAAGAAGTGGCTAAATGGAGTTAATTTTTTAGATAAGGTCAGAAATTAAACAAAAAATATTTTTAATTAATTTTTATAGTATAAACATTATTTGTTAATTTTGTGCATTTCAAAACATAATAATTTGAAGGAAAATGTAAATTATTGTAATTATGTAGAGAGTCGCATTCGTTTAGAATTGGTGTTCTCAATAGAGGATGATAATTTGATTAGATATGCACATGCTTTTGGTAAAAAAAATTGGTTGCCAAATAAAATAAAACAAAAATATGGGTAACAATTATTTTTGAGTATTAAGTTATTTTTTAAGTTTATTTTATGAAGGGAACTTTAGGGCTTATACTGAGCGTTGGAGGATATAAAATGAAATAGAGGGTATTGGCTCAGATGAGAACATTGAGATCAGCGTCGTATTGATTCTAGATTTCAGGGTCTGAGTTTTTAACTGCGCAAAGAGTATCATGGCTGAGATTTAAAAATTTTTGCAATCGACTTCTATGAAAATTTAAATAAAATAAAAAACTAAATTGTTATTTATTAAAAATATTATTTTGCAGAGGACATATTATCAAACATTGGTGGATAGGAATTGAAACACATGAACAAATAAACCAATTAGAAATCCATAACAGCAGTGAAGCAAATATGTTAAAAAATTTTGTTGATAGAATTCAGACAAGCATCCCAATTGCTTTGAGTAAGTCTGAGGGATGGTTAGAGATGGTTTACTACAATAAAGAGAATGATAAAAATATATTTAAAAATTACTGATAAATAAATAATCTATAAATTAAATTAATTTTATAGTAAAGAAGATCGGAGTTTTAGGGTGTAAAAACATTAAAATAGATACATAAATAAGCTGCAAAAATGCCAAAATGTTGACAAAATTATAATGATATTTGAAAAAAGTTTTCATAGGAGGCAAAAAAGATTCAAATTATCTTCTAAATTCTTTTCATAAATTCATTATAAAACAATAATTTTATAAAAATTTCCATTTTTTAAATTTTTAATAAAATAAATAATTCAAATTGATTATTTATTTCAAAATTAAAATATAATAAGGCTGAAAAAATTGCGATATTTATGAGATTAATAATTTAATATTTTTGCTTAAGTTTGTTTATTATTTTTGCTGATTAAGTATATAATTTTCCATTTTTGTTTGTTTTGTATATTTAATTTTATCATTTGCGCGCCTTTAAAAAATTTAATTTTCAATGTTTTTATAAAATCGGTGTGATAAATATTTGAGATTTTTATTGTTTAATCGGGGTATATAGAGATAAGATGGATCAATTATTAATAGTAAAACATATAGAAGTTAAATACTCAATCAATAGATGTTTTCACCAATTAATTGTTAATTTTGAATAAATCTTCAATCCAGTATTGTGAGTTTCTATCCGCTC